AGGATTAAGATTAAATATAATGGCAACAGGTACAACAACCAGTCTTAAAACTCATAATAAAAACATTGAAGTGGAGGAAAGGTTCTGCCTTTTAAAAAGGATAATCAGCAGCAATAAAACCAGAGAAAAAAAATACACACTTGGTATTGAAACTCAGAAAAATATTAAGGTACCATGACTTATCTATACTTACAATAATCAGAACTAAGCAGACAATGGTTTTCCCTATGACATTCTCTGGAAGCAAAAGTTAAACTTTGAAAAAGGAAGACAGAAAGAAAATTGAAACTTTTAAATTTTTAGGGGGAAAAACCCTCTTGAGAATACTTTGAACTTAATTTAATAGACCATTTCCTTAATTTAAACTTAATCCCCCAACCCCCTAATGGATCATAGAACAAATTAATCCATAGTTCTCATTTAAGGCAAAAAAGACCACATTCAAATGATCATATTTTGCATACATTATACAAAAGTCCAGCTTCCTTCATAAATCCATAACAGAACTTCTGGGAAAAGTTGAAGAGAAAAAGAGGACACCCAACAGCATGGTGGATGGAACAATTAGAGCAGCGATAGATGCACTATTGGAAGACCTGAAGACTCAGGTTGGGGACAGATGATCTCGGAGAAATTCTATCTACATGGCAGCTAGGAGTTGAGATCAACATCTCCATTTATTTCTAGTGTCTGTCTGTCTCTCACGTCCATCCAAAAGTAATGTAAATGTCACTTTTGGAAAGAGATAATCAAGTAATACAGTATATATTATATATATTATATACTGTAGTTCTATAAACAAAGAAATAAGATTAGTGATGCTCTTATCTCAAGTAATTTAATCTCTTGCATTGGCTGTAGGTACCACAGAAGTCATTAATACCTAAACGCTTTGCCATGATCTCTTCTACCAAGTTGAATCCCAAAGGTAATTGGACTTTCTTGTCTTTCTTTGAAGACATTTCGCTTCTCATCCAAGAAGCTTCTTCAGTTCTAACTAGATGGTGGGGAACTGAAGAAGCTTCTTGGATGAGAAATGAAACATCTTCAAAGAAAAACAAGAAGGTTCAGTTGCCTCCTGAAAAACACCTTTGGGACAACCATGACCTGGATGACTGAGAATCTCCATAGTCATTTACCAAGCGAATCCCTTGGTTCACGAGAACAGCACATACATTCCCATGTTTGATTTCTGCCACGTTTGTACCTTTTCAAGGACAGAATATCATAATGGCCTTGGTAACTTTGCTTTTCTACCAATGTATGCCATTGATTTAATCTAGGATTATGGGATTATAAAACTTTGAATTCAAGGTATAGCCACAAGTAATGTGCATATATTAGTGTTATTGCTGCTTTTGATGAATTATCCAAAGCACCCTTTTCTCCATATGTTGTTGCCTAAAGAAGTTGAGACCATCCTTGGGTTTTCAAGTATAGTATATTGTGAATTTTGGCTGCATAGTTATTGACAGAAAACACAAACCAAGTTGACACTGTCTAATGTTAAATTTCCCAGAGGGATTTTTTTTTTTTTTACTTTTTGGATGGTGGAACAACATTCATCTGTTTGTTTTGAACTACCCCTAAACAGACTGATTTTTTTAGAGAGCTGGCCAAACTCTAGGTGGCACATATTGAACTGTTATTAAATGTAACAGCTGAGATCCTTTTTCCCAAATAAGAACTCTGTGTTCAAAAGGGCAGAGTTGATTCCATAAAAGACTGTGACATCCCCTCCCCTTACATTCACTCATCCTGGATGTTATTATACAAAGAACAAATGTAAAGTATTGCCTCCAACTCCATAACTTTAGTTCAAACAGGGATATTTTAATAAAGGTAACAGGAAAATAATTGTTGAAATGAGTTCATTAGCTATATTTTCCTTGCCACATAAAGTCTATGATTCACTTCGTAACTTCTGCAAACAATGGACCACTTCTTGAAGTCATCAAAAATAACATCATACTTTATCTTTTTAGCCACCAACCTCTTCATTTGAGTCTAACAGATTCCCTTGAAGTTATTCCTTCAATTTTGGGAAAAAGTCGAAGTTGCAAATCTAGACTAAATGGGGTAAGGTGGTAAGATCCAAATTTGCAATTCCTCTTGGGTGATCTTGAGATTTAAGGCCTAGTGTAGCAAAATTTCCCTCTTGTATTTCTGAACTCAGTTTAACTGTTTCAAAATGTTTGAAACTATGAGTTGTTCTTTCAAAAGAAGTTGATATTGATGCCAATTTCAGGTAAATCAAAATGAATAATATAATTAGTTTCCAGTGAAACTTTATGAAGACATTCCATGGACTGGCGCTTATTTTCCAGGTCATAATGATAAGCCCATATTTTGTTGCCTGTCACTATGTTGTGAAGAAATGTGTCACCTTCATTTTTATACATGAAAATCATTGCTGCTAAATTTCAAATCTTGAGGCTTTCATCTCTGCCATTAGCATGTGAGGGACCCAACTTGAGCAAATCTTCTGATACTGAAGAATGTCAATCATGTGATCCACGTGTTCTGTAAATGCCAAGCTTGATAGAATTTTTCCTTTGAGTGATCCTCTGATTGTCCTTAACAATTCAGCCTTTCTTGATTACATAAATCAGCTCTTCCCAGTGCACCATCTTTATATATTTTTTGTCCCAACAATGCACAGTACAGGTAGTCCTTATTTATTGGTCACTTATTCAGCAACTATTCAAAGTTATGATGGGGCTTAAAAAAACAACTTTATCACCAACTTTCAACTTTCACAGCATTCCACAGTCACATGAACACCATTACAGGTAGTATACATTGTTCTGTGTTTGACCTGCATTTTTCTTTTTCCTCCTTGCAGAGCAGAGAGATCGGAGAGGAAGTGATTGTAAGAGAATAAGCTGCTGTTCTTTTACACCAGGAGTCTTCAAACTTGGCCCTTTTATGACTTGTGGACTTCAACTCCCAGAATTCCTTAGCCAGGCACGCTGGCTGAGGAACTCTGGGAGTTGAAGTCCACAAGTCATAAAAGAGCCAAGTTTGAAGACCCCTGTTTTACACATTGAAAACAGTTCAATTGTGCTGGCAGCAGGAAAGGATGAGGAAAGGAGAGACTGCCTATAGAAATCACTTCCTTCTGCTACCCTCTCAGAACAAGGGGGTTGGAAAGATAGACATTTCAAGAGAGTAGTGTAAACTATTTGTGTAACATGCCCAGGGCTCGCTACTGCCATGGTCACATTGTTTTTGATGTGTATAAGGCAGTGGTTCTCAACCTTTCTAATGCCGCGACCCCATAATACAGTTCCCCATGTTGTGGTGACCCCCAACCACTTATACATCACTGGATGCCAGGGGCATGGCCAAAGAAAAGGGGGAAAAATGGCGGACAGCCTTGTTTGGCGACCCCCGTGAAATGGTCGTTCGACCCCAAATGGGGTCCCGACCCACAGGTTGAGAACCATTGGTATAAGGCAATAAACACAAAGGGCAACAAAGCGGTTAGGTGAAAACCTAAGGCTGAATGTGCAAAATTGAGTAGTCTTGTCTCTTTCCAGCTGGAAAGCATAGTCACAGTCACATGATTTCCTACTTAGCAACCACATTTTGCTTAACAGAGTTGTAAGTCTCCTCTAAGATTGTTAAATGAGGACTATTATGCTTCCATCAACATAGCCATCATCATAAACAATTGCATTTGGCAATGAATTTCAATTGGATGGACTTCTCAGACAGTCAAAAATTCAGTTACAAGACACTGCTTAGTCTGCATTAATACTCATCAAAAGTTTCCATTGCACAATAGCAGCATGACCTTTTACACAGAAACTTCTCACCAACTGAAGTGGAAGAATAGAAATTAAAGAACACACCAGAGTATCTAATGCATGAATACTGCCACCTATTGGCAATTTATGACATTGGTGGCATTAATTTTCATTCATCCCTGGTAGAGAGAATGGTTTGTGTTCAACAGTGTAAAAATCAACAGACATTGAAAAATGAACTGGGATTGTAGCTGCTAGCTAGGGCTACCATAAATGGTTATATAACTCTAGGCAATCACTAGGTGTGGCAAAGTGATCTAGCTAAGTCCTTTTCCTATATCTAGCCTTCATCTGCATGTTTAAAGGCTGGATAAGGCAATCCTATGCTTAGGCATGTTCCATTCATTTAGTCTCTGTCTATCCCAATACTTTCCTCATAAATAGAAACTGTGTATACAGAGCCAGTTGGGTCTACTGGTTCAGATACTGGCCTAAAAACAGGAGAGGGTGAGTTTTAAACCTCCCTTAGACATGAAAGCCAGCTGGGTAACTTTGGGCTAGTTGCTCAGCCCAGCCCACCTCCCAGGGTTGTTGTTATGGGTAAAATAGGAAGCAGGACTATTAGGTATGTTCAATGGCTTGAGTTGACAAAAATATTTTAAAAAGCAGAATAAAAATATAACAAAAATGGCAAATCCAGTCTAAAAATCTGGCTGATTGCAACCAACCATAATAATAATATCTGCCACATAACACCCCAGATTTAACAATTGTTGATAAGACAGACAAAAAAAGTCTGGATAGTTAATAAAGCACTACTTGGAGACAGCAAAATAGAAAAGAAAGAACTGGAAAAAAATCACAAAACACAAAGACCTGCAAATAGCTGTGGAATGACTGGGACAAAAGAAAGCACTGATTGTAATAAGTGCCTTGCGTGCAATCCCAAAATATCTGGAGCACCAATTGAATACCATCAGCCTTAGCAAAATTGCCATCGATCAATTGCTAAAGGCAGCATTATTTGGAACAGCTTACATCCTGTGACAATACTTTTAACACCATTAAACAACTTCTTTCTCTCCCAGGTCCTTGGGAAGGAGTCAGTAGGAGACTAAAAAGGCCAAATCCAGTCCAAACATCTGGCTGACTGTGCATTGAGCACTCATCATCATAATACTTAAGTATTTACAAATCAACTTTACTTATGATTCTAAGCCAAAGGTTAAATTAAACATGGGTGAAGTGACCTCTGACTCACACATTAAAGCCAATGGTTTACAAATCAAATAATTACAGTACACTAAGCTCATGGTGGCTTATCCGTGGACTCTGATGCACTGAGACAGAACCTGTCTACTCCCGCTCTTGGCCTCGCACAGTCCTTTTTAAAGAGATAAAAGGAGCAGCCTGGGTCTCTTGGTCGCACGCAAACCCAATCAAGGCCTTTTGCATCCTTAACAAGCGGCCCAGCGGGGGAACCCGGCCCTTAAAGGCGATCTAGCCAGGCCCCTCTTTGAAATCGCTCAATCTATTTTAATGATTGGTTCGCTCGGGCGACATCAAAGGCGCCTCCAATCGCCACAATCCTGATAGGCTGACAGCGAGCCAAAATCAAAGTGTTGGGGAGGGGGCGAATCTGAGCGCAGGAGGAGAAAGATTGCAGGTTGGGGAGGAAGGAGGACTTTGGCATAGAGAGGGGGAGCGGAGCAGGTTGCCACTTCGGGGCTTCCGGCTCTGCTGAGTTTAGGCGCCCTTTCCGTGGCTAGAGCTGGATGACCCCGATCCCAATGGCAACTTTGGCGGTGCCGAAGTCGGCGAACCACTTCACCTCGTTTCTGCAGGTAGGAGGAGGAATCTCCCCGGATTAGAAGTGGAGTGGCCCCCCTCTGGGTTCGCCTCGAGTGCGAGCTTCCTCCGGGGTCTTTTACCGTGCATGGGTGTGGGTGTGGGTGTGTGTGCGTGCGTGCAATTCAGTAAGTGAGGATTTTCCTGGTGCGGAGATTCAGCAGTTGGGAAAACTTCACCTGTTGATTTTTCAGCCTGACGTTGGTCAGCTAAATTAATACGCGACCGGCGTGGTTCTGCTGTGGAAGGAATGGGGAAAGCGCGCTCTAACGTTTTTCCGGGCAATCCCGTAATGTTTCTGTTGAGATGTAAATCCCATTAACTCAAGGAGACTTACTCTTAGATTCGCATAAATGTGATAATCTCAGAGGAACTCTGGAGTAAGCAGCCTTGCCTTGAAGGGATTAGGATGCAGACGTATAATTATTCTTATTAAAGCAGAGCAAATAATTAACAAACTATTAATTTATAATTAGCAACAGCTACCAATTGATTGTAGCACTTTGGTATGTACCTCCCGTCTAATTCGACATTCTGTAAGAGATTGTGGAGTTCTAATTGTGTAAATTTTGAGGATATGCAGCGTTCTTGATTACAGGGAATGGCAGGGCAAATTATCTTTTGGATTTACTAAAAGGACGGTTAGCCTCTGAATTTTCCCCGTGTTTAACCATATCTGCTTTCCTTCTCTATATCTCCCACTAAGTTTCAGTATTGAAACCTGTATTCTCATTTTGGGGAATAGCTAAGCAGGGACTCTGAGGGAGAAGTGGATTTCACCTGTGTGTTTCAAGCTAGGTATTGCTCCTGAACTGTAAGGAGCAAATGGGTGCAAATGAATAGGAAATGTACTAGAAAGATGCTAACTTTGGACTCTAGTGAGTCTGCTGAGATGCTGATGGAAAGGGAAAGGGAACCAATCCTAACTGAAGGTGATTTTCTTTTAGCAGGTGAGCTCAGCTAAGATTTAGATAGTAAGAACATTTTAAAAAGTGGAGAATGTGTTTTCTGTCTCTAAAGAAACAAAAGTTAACAATATGTGATATTTGGGGTACAGACAATGTTTAAGGTATTGTTTGTTTAAGTTGTGGACAGAATTGTTTATTTTGAATGAAAACTTTAATTTTCAACTATATATTTGTTGTATGATTCCTGGGAGGTACATTTATAGTGTGCTAATTTTTTGCTTATGGGTACTATACATATTTTAAACATCTAATGAAAGTATTGCATTTTTTATTTTGTTTTGCAAAATGAGTATATTATTATATGAGAATATTATATACATTGTAGAAAGGGGAAATAGATCTTATTGTGCTTTATTCAGTGCCAGGAGGACTACTTAGAAATAGACTACAGCTCAGTAGTATAGCTTTGCTTAGAAATGGTTGCAAATTCAGTTCTCACATATCTCCAAATGAAAAACTAGATACTGAATTATTGGGAAGAATCTGCTTAAGACTTGATAAGCCCTTGCAATTGAGCTTAGACAATATTGGCTGGGCATCTAATTCTAGCTAGAAGAAGGTGACACTTTGAGTAGGGAAATGTGACACTTTAATGCCTATTGAGGCAAATTTAAAAAGTCACAACCATTTAAGCCATTCCATAGAAAAACATACATTTCCTTTATCCTAACCACAGGCCTAAAAGGTAGATCACTACTGTCACCAATGCTTAGTTGTAGATTAAGGAGCTCACCCTGTATCCACCATTGTACAACTTCCTGATTGACTCTGAATTTGCCTTTACCCATAATATTGGCTTATTTTGAGGTAAGCCAACATTTCTTCTGCCTCCTCCTGACTTATTTAAAACCAGAACAAAGCTGTAGGGCACTCTGTCCTTCTGTTGGCTTGACTCTTGCTTCACCAACCTTTCAGCTTTTAGGTGTAAACAAGCTCTTATCTGCTGCAATCTATTTATTGCAAGGAAGAGAACCTTCAGTTCCTAGTTAGTTTTACACTCTTCTGTTTAACACCCCCCCCAAAAAAAACTGATTATTTTCCATGCTGATAGAAGTAGCAGGGACAGAATTCCTGCTATCCTCCTGGGATCACAGCTATAATAAAGGCTTTTTAAGTAAGAAATGGCATGGTGCCTTCACAGCAGGGAATTCTCCCAGAAACTGCAAATGACCATCTTAAAACATGTTCTGAAAAAAAGTGCTGGCTATTTTCCTACTCCAGGAGCTGTGGCAATTCAGGTGATAGACATGGCTTAAGTTCCGTTCTCAAAACTCTCCCGTTGATCAGATGGATAAAACCTTTATTAGTTGGAGCATATCCTGCCTGTTTGCAACTTTTCAAGAGTGGATTCACTATGACCTCCTTCCTAGGAAGAATATATAGCAATGATGCTTTAATGCAAGTTTGAAAAGTTGCAAAAGAATTTGGGAGCTATTTCCCACTTTTCATACACACACTCCTGCATTAAAAGGTGGCACATAATTGAAGCATATCCGACTTTTAAATACCCATCACTGATTCTTGGTTTTTTTTGGTTCTCTCTCCCAATCTATGGGTTTTCAGTAGGAAATGGTCCAGTGACTTTGGTTTTGTTAAAGAGAATGATTCAGCAAGCTTTTCTTTCTGGCAATGTAGAGTTTTGCATGGGGTTTGAACTGGAAAAGTTCAACCAAGGAAATGTTTAAACAAAACAAGGGTTTTGTGGGCAGGATGAATGACTTTTAAAATTATTTTTCCAATAAATGCAGAGAAAATTGTTATGACATGAAATCAAGTGACCAATGAAGTTCATAATAAAGAAGCATCTTGATTTGGGGGGAATGACAAAATGAAAAACATAGTAACTAATCCTGTGTACACACAAAATCTTTGTAATTGCTCGAAAGTTCCAATCGCTTTAAAATCTTTCACTCTTTTCATAATTCCAAATATAACACAATTAAAACTACTCCAGGAAGGCCAATATAACAGGAATGGAACTAGAAGCCAGTAGATTCTGGATGAGAGTGATACTGGCGGGAGCTTGAATCCCGCATCCTGTTGTTCCTACTTGATGCTGATTAACTCTGAAGTTTCACCACTGAGCATTTTTCCAAACATTCTTGAAGGTATAATACAGATTGATCCTAGGATTGACTTTGTTTTTAAACCTTAAGTGATGCAGCTGTGTATTTTATATCATCTCATGAAATGACGAACAGGCGTTCTCTTTTTTTAATTCTAAAATAGCTGCAGTTAACATTCCCTTCTGGGTGTCCTTCTTTTTCCAATGTAAATAGTCCTTGACTTATAACCAGTTGCTCAGTGGCCATTTGAAATTGCGACCTACCTGGGAAAGGGAGCTTATCACCCAGATCCAAAGTTTTGATAGTCACTTCCTCCTGTGGGTGCTCAGCAACACAGCCGCATTTACTGCCATTTGTAGCATGCCAATCACATTTTACAAAATCAGCACTGCTAGTAAAATTGCACCACAGCAAACAATGAGTTCATTTTATGATTGCAGTGTTCACTTAACAATTGCTGCAAAAGACACAGTCATGTGTCCATTTCTATTTTATGACTGTTACAACTTACAACCATGATGGGCGAGCTCCACTACGGTCGTAACTAGAGGACTATCTGTAAACATTCAGTCAGGATTTACAAATGGAAAACTTCCTGCTTAATTGTAATGCTTCTAGGATTCTGCCTCCTCTGCTTTTCTTCTTTCTTAAATATATTTCAGCATGAAAAGATCAAAGCAAAAACAGCAAAAACTATGCCAAAGAGAAACTATCAGTATCTATTAATACTAGGCCTTGAAGCCTTAACAAGCCCTTGCAGTATGATAAAATGTGCCTTCTACACCTCTGAGGAGGAGCATCAGATTCAAGCCTTTTTACCACATCAAATCAGCTGCTTTGCCTTTGGATCTTTTCCCCAAGCATAACCTCAGGCAATGAAAAATGACTTGCAGATCTTTTGACAGGCTTTTAACTGAAGGCATAAAAGTCCTGTTCTGAAGTGGATCTCTTTCCAGTGATTGGAACCAAAGCAGCTTCATAAATTGTCCTTGCTTCATCCAGCCCTCCTTATTACATTTGTCTTGAAAAAAAAAGATACAAAGGTTTGAACATCCATAGATTATATTCCCATCTAACAATGTTTGTATAATGGTATTGCTTAGGTTATAATTACAGCAGGTATTTATTGAAACATTTTTTTAAGTATCAATATTTGTCCACAATACTTGATCCATCTTGTTTTAGATCTCTTTTGTGGACACTTTTTATCAAATGGGATCCATTTTGTGACTGCCTTGGTCCACCTGCCATCAATTCTTTTTGCTCTGTGACCAGCCTATTTCCATTTCAGTTCTTTTACTCTCTTGATGTTACCATATACTTTTGTTTGTTCTCTAGCTCGTGTGCAGGTCTTTCTATCTTGTCTTATAATGTCGAGCATTATCTTTCCATGGCTCTTAGCTTTTGTTTCGATTGTGAGGTCCATGTTTCACTGGCATATGTTAGAGCAGGTAGCACACACTGATCAAAATATTTCTCATCAGGCATTAAGGGGAGTTAATTCTTGAAAATTATGCTTAGCCTGGCAAATGCCTGCCAATCACATTTAACACGTTCAATTTCCTTTATTATACAGTATCACCTTCCATTGAGATCCGTTGGCCAAAGTATATGTAGTGGTCTATTATGTCTAATTCTTCTCCAGATATAAAATTTGTTCTTTCTTTGGTAAATTTATTAAACATAAACTGGCACTTTTTCAGGTTTATTTTTTAAGCCAATTTTTTCTTTCTTTGGTGAATTTATTAAACATAACCTGGCTCTTTTTCAGGTTTATTTTTAAGCCAAATGGTTTTCCTGCTTTGTGCAGCTTTTGTATGTGTCTTTGTAGCTTTTCTGGGTCTTGTGAGAAGAGAACATCATCATCTGCAAATCTTAAGTAATTTAAATAGGCGCCATTGATTTTATTTCCATCTTTTGCCCAGTCTAGTTTACGAAATACTTCTTCAAGGCAGGCTGAGAAAAGGGTAGATGGTATTGTATCACCTTGTTGTACACCTCGTTCTCTGATAATTTCCACTTTAATTGTTGCTGTTGTTTTTTCATATATTGATTGTAGTAAGTTTATATAAGGTGCAGTGTCTACACCTCGGTTGTGCATTGCCTTCATTATTGCTTGCTGGAATACTCAGTCAAAGAGATCAATGACATCAGCAAGTATTGTGGGCCCAATTGACGAAAGCTCAGGACCGTATTGGTTAGAAACATGTGGAAGAGGCCTTCATCCTGCAGTGGATAGACAATGGCTAAAATGATGATGATGAAGAGGTGATGATGATTTATTTGTCAAAATTCTAAAAATGCCAAAGTCCATAATGACTCTGGGTGGCACATAATATTAATAACAGTTAAAAAAAAACACAACCAACAAAAAAAGTGGTCAACATGTAAGAGAGAACAATTAAAAACATATCCCTAATCTTCCCATAGGATTTCTCAAAAGAGCCCACCACACTAACCCAAATCCTGGGGAAAGAGTCAGGCTTTCAAAGGTAGAGGCCATTCAAATCTCTGGGGCAATGCTGTTCCAGAGGGCAGGCACCATGAGAGAGAAGGTCCATTTCATCAGATGATACTGTTTAAGCAAAGAGTCTGAAAGCATGCCCAATTTGATTGTACAATATAGGACAAGCAGACACTACTGGAGACAGAAGGTCTGTCTCATAAATAAACCTATGATAGGGAGTGTCTCGTAGGTCAGGGACTTTGAATTGTATCTGAAAAGCCCATTGGCAACTCTCAAAGGTGATGCATTGGGTGCACTGTGTTATGCCCTCAAATGCCTCTGGATCTAAATGATTTTCAAGGTTAGCTCCACACAGATCACATTGCAATAGTCACACATTGTAGGTGACTGTAAGAAAAGCCTCCTGTTCCAGGAATGGGCACAACTGGGACACAAAATGAATCAGTGCTAAGGTTGACTTGGCTTTGCTCATCAATAGAACCTTATTCAAGAGAAATTCTACCTTTGCTTCTTCTCCTGCACTTTTCTTGTGCCTGTACCTTTGTCACTTATAATCCCTTTCCAAATTGGAGTGTTTCCCTCTGAGGTCAGGGTCAGGCTCCTCTTTTCTGCTTCCAAATAAATCTGTAGAATATTGTTGTTACTATTAATATCAGGGTAAGTTACAACTCTGCAAGTAAGAAAGAGAATGTTGTTTGTTTAAAACTGAGATTCTACATAGAGCTAAAATTCTAAGACAAATGGAATAGAATAGGATGGGAAGGGATGACATCCATCTACACTTATTGAGTGTTGTTCAAAAAGTCCCTTTATTTTCAACGGTTAGCCACAGTTACATTATGCTGAGGGATGGGGATCAATTAGTTTGAAACTTATCTCAGTAAGAGCCTAACAAAATTCGGCAACATCCAGAGAGATCGAGTTCCTTTGATCAGAAAACAGAAATTGGGTGTAGAAAGTATCGGATACCACATTAGGGCTCAGTGTATTGTGTAAACCAAACCTGGTCTTCAACTCAGGAAATTCCTGTTCTTCCTCTAAAAAGTGAGAAAAGGTAACCTGCTCTATCTGCTGACCTACATACTGCATTGTCCAAGCAATTCTTCTTTTGAGAAAACTGGTTCTGTAGTTAACAGATTATGACAGACGTTTGATACAATACCCATTACAGATAATGGCAGTTTAAGACTTAGAAGATGAAACATCACTCATGGAGCCAAATTAAAGATCTATGCATGACAGGGGAGGAGGATAAAATGGCCATATCTTTGGTAACTTTAGCGTGGCAGGCAAAGTTAATCAGAGGATGTATGCAAAGTGCAAGATTTAGCAAGTGTGCTACAGAAGATGATTTGCTTGGGCAGAGTTCGAGTAGAGGTTGGCTAAGGATTTAGGAGGATTAACATCTACACTCTTGCTCATTTTTTTGTTTTTTGTTTGCTCTGCTTCAGGACCGGTCTCCTAACTCATCTCCAGAGGACATCACTGTCAACTACCCCACCTTGGCCTTCCGAGCAGCACCTCCTCTGCCCTGTTCTTCAGCCAGCTCACCAGGGTCCTATGAATCTATGGGGATGTTTCAACTCTGGAACAATGAGATGCCAACACGCTCTCACACAACCATGGCGTTTGGACGACCCAAAATGCCATATCACGAGCAAATGGTGGCTAGCAATAGCAGTGCCTCATCCCACGAACTGTCGCTGACACCACCAGCTGAGGCCATCTACTCATTGGAGTGGTCACCTGTCAAGATGTTGGCGCCCACAGTGCATCCCTCATATGCTTTCCCGGAAGCCCAGGACTCCTCCAGTTTTCTACAGGGCCCGTGGCCTTTGGGTACAGCTGTCCCTCCAGGCCCCCCCTGCACTGAGGATGCCCCTTGGTGGACCCTGCAGCAGCCAAGCAATTTCTCTCTTGGACATTCACTAGTCCTCAGTCCCCAGCCTCCCCTCGCACCCTTCCTGCAGAGCCCTCCCAAAGGGCTGTTGAGTACAGCTCGCCGCTGTCGTCGCTGCAAATGCCCCAATTGCCAGGGAGCCAGCAGGTCCCTTGAAGAGCCAGGGAGGAAGAAGCAGCATGTCTGCCATCTGCCAGGGTGTGGCAAGGTTTATGGCAAAACCTCTCACTTGAAGGCCCACCTCCGCTGGCATGCAGGCGAGCGCCCCTTCATTTGCTCCTGGCTGTACTGTGGGAAGAGCTTCACTCGCTCAGATGAGCTGCAAAGGCACCTCCGGACACACACAGGGGAGAAGCGCTTTGGCTGCCAGCTGTGCCCCAAGAGATTTATGCGGAGTGACCACCTAGCAAAGCATGTCAAGACCCACCAGGGAAAGCGGGTGCAGAATGTGGCTGTCGTGACAGCAGCAGCAGCAGTGGGCATCAAGCGAGAGTGATGTTAAATAAAGAGGCCTTAAAGAGTAGAGATGAGGTCAAGGAAGCAAGGAGAAGGCTACAGCAGGCTTACGGTATCTGGATTGCAAAAACCTGGACAGCCATCATCAGCAAAGAGATGGCTTGTAGTACATACTTTTCTACCACCTACTGATTTGCAGTCCTTGCTAAGGTGCAACTGAATTCATTTTACACCCAACATTAATATCGACCAATCATATTTTTTTCCCAAGAGCCTGGCAACTGTAGATCAGTGGGATGCTATGAAATCTCAGTCAGTAAATCTGAAGTCCTGCAAACATTCCCTAGCAAGAGTGAATGATTGGTTAAATGGTGATTCCTGAACATCCTCCATTCCACTGGTATAAAAACAGGAGCAGGCGGATAATTCTTTTGTGTCAGGGAGCCAGATAATAAATCCTGGGCTCTCTAGGACTAAATGGCTGCCAGGTCACAAAACTTCTATTTCCAGAAGGCAAATTGGTGAGTTGCTCCCCACTACTCCCCACAACTACTTCAAACCTCCCCTCTCTCACCCTACCTTCTTTATAACCCTAGATTACTTTTGGGAGGAGCGATGTTCCTTTATCTAGATGTTCCTTTATCTATCCTCAAGAGTACATTTCTAACAGAAAACTGGGTTGAAATGCAAAGTAACTTTATTTTTTAAATGTGGTTATTAGATCTGAAGGCAATCTTGGGAAATAAAGAGACTAGTGCTTTGCTTTGTGGCAGGCCAATTTCCAACTAGCTTTTTTATTTTAAAACTTCTTGAAAATATTGTTGTCATGCTGGATAAGGTGCCTAATGGTGATCAGGGAAGTGTCCACAGAAACAATCAAATGCATGCACTGAAAGGAAGTTAATAGGTAATTAATGCCTTGGGTTACCTTGAGAATTTGTAGCAAGTACGAAACAGAGTTGGCCCACATAGATGAATCTATATACTTCTAAAACTCTTGTATCTGTTTGATTGTTTGTAACCTTCAACTGGGTGAAATAGTGCATCATGGGGCAACCGTTTTGGAATCAATGTATCTCAAATGAGAGAATGCATCCAAAATCTGGGATCCATGACTCCTGTCTGAATGAAAGGTGGTAAATTAGTGGCTGCTTCAGTGCTGCCTCACTGCCAAAGTTAGCTGCAGTCAGCCATGGTCATGTGATCACCGTTTCCAATGCTTCCTCCAGCTTTCTACAAGAAAAGTCAGTGGGGAAGCTGGCAGGAAGTCAGAAGTTGCTTTTGCTCCCACTGCTTTGCGTGCCAATAGTCATTCAGTTTCTCTGTTAGGAAAGGAAATATCTCTGAAACAATAAGCCAATGCAGCATGGGTTATCTAATACACTTTTAAATAAATTCTCAGTCAAAGTCCCCTTTGAGTTGAGTTTGATTTCTGGGGGCTTCACAAACACATCAATACGTCAGTTTGCAAGTGGTTCACCTTAACTGCCTTCTGGGATTTTTTTTTTTTTTTATGTTCCCATCTCACAGTTGTGAGGTTCCAAGTGATCTCCCATCCTAATATTCACAGAAGACAATCCCACTTAACTTCTGATTCTAGACAAGGTCTGCTAGGAGGCAGTTTCCATTCATTTCCAGAAATATATAAGAGAATATGGGCAAGTCCAAAGACTCCATGAGAGCACATCCACAGTCAAAACTGGTGTGGGGAAGCATAAGTATACTTGACCAATTGCAAGTCTCGTGGTAATAAAATGTTGTTATTGCCTCCGTCACCACCTTGCCCCCTGGTCTCCATAGCACTGAAAGAAAGCCTAGCATCTAAATCAGTTTCTTTCCTATTCTCTATCCTAGTGCTTCGCAATCTTGGCAATGTTAAGATGTGTACACTTCAATTCCCAGAATTCCTCTGGTCTAGAGAATTCTGGGATTTTAAATCTACAGTTGCCTGTGTTGAGAAATACTGCTCTGTCCTATACCTTTGGTGTTGGCATCACAGGTTTTGAATTATTTTTGCAGTTCATCAAACTACATAGTTTGAATTCTTTTAAACATCTATTTTGCACTAAAAGTGTAAGAACATTAACAAATTAGAGGTTGATGCCCCTCCCTGGATGTACAGGCTCTTTTGCCTTTTTCTTGGGTTATTTCATAAAAAAATATAAGAATTTAGAGCTAAGCTTAATATTCATCGATACTAAACCAGCCTTCCCCATTTTGCTGTGATTTAAGCAAGCAAACCAGTATGCAATGAAAAGGACTCCATCAGCTAGTGTGAAGCTGTGAGTGTTGAAACTCATATGCTTGTGAACATGAATATATACATTCTCATGATGATGACCGAAAATTCAGACATGGCCTTCTCCTTGATATGCTACTTTCATCTATGCAGTGTCTCCCCTCTTCCCCTGCCCTCTAGTAGAAGCACTCAATCTCTTGATTTCCCTGCCTGCAATTAGAAACAAAAAAAATGTCTACGAACATTTTTACCATCTCATTTGCTACTTCTCTGATATTAAGTGATGAAAGTTTGAGGCTAAGCCTATCTTTCAATGAAAATGCAGAAATAAAAATGAAGCGCCCTCAAGGCACATCCCCATCCAACTTTTTGTCATATTTCATATTGTGAAATTTACAGCTCTTTTGTGTTGGGATTCCTCTGTGCATGTATTCACATCCGCACATACAAAGATGTCCCTCTTTGAATGGTGGGAAAAGCTGGTGTGGCTTGGTGGCTTGTCTTCATGAAAACCTCTGCAGCAAAATTGTGCTTAAAAGAGGAAGAAAAAAAAAGCTAATCTATATGTAACCTTGGACTACACACATCTTAAAATGAGGGGTCCTTGGTGCTGTCTGAACTTGTTTTCTTGCAGACGTTTCCTTACCCAAACTAGGTAACATCATCAGTGCACAACCAAGTTCAGAGAGCATCAAGGACCCTTCATTTCAACCCTGAATTACAAATATTCTCCTTTATTGGTAAATAACTTAATTCCAGCTTAAAAAATGCACACCCAGAACCATATGGAAGCAGAGTGAACTGGTAGCCGATTCTTCCTTCTACAAAGGTCTTGAGACCACTTACCTCTTTTCATGAGAAGAATAGACTACTGTAAGGGAATGAGGTGAGAAGATGATTTCTTTTCTCCAATGGAAGGATAGGTCCTTTCACACTGCCTCCAGCTCCACTTGAGATAATCCTTGCGCATTATTGGTGTCAGTTCCTTTGTGACTGAACACTCCAGAGACCTCTGTTCCTCCACTTAATTGCCACGGAAACCAGCCATCACCTTTGTGTCCATGGGACTGTCCCTGCTACATCACAATGGGGTCTTTAACACAATTAACCCTACGGTGGAATCTTTGAGAAAAGAGTCAGCTGGTGTTTTAACCAAGATGAATGCACAACTGCATACATTTATGAGTTGCTCTAGTCTTTGCGATACCTTGTGTGTAAATTATCAATATGCATTGGTATCCTTTTGCTGTAGCATGCCCCCCCAAAAGGGATGCAGCAGTAATATCTAACCCAGATGCGGCAGGTTGGACTAAGCGTTAGGCCCCCACCCCCAGGGATTGGACCCAAGCCCATAAAAGAAGGCCCGTTTCCAGTACCACCCAAGCTATACGCCAGTAAAAGGGCAGTACCTCGGAGGTAAAACCTCCTGAAGCAAGTTTGGCAGTCCCACATCATTTCTTTCTTCAACAACAATGGAGGGTATCAGCTGGCCATTGCTCAGGTAACAAGTACTCGGGGGTGCAATTCTCTTGTAGTTTGTCTAGTATTTTTTCTGATTTTTTTAAAAAATTGTATTATTGTTAGTATTTATTGTCTTGAGATGTTGGTGGAGCTATATATTTTTTTCTATGAGTGCTTCCAGTAGTTTTTCATACCCTGTTTTACTAGGTAGAAATGTCTGTGTGTTTTTAACAGAGGCATTTTTTGAACTTAATACCTGGTGAATGAGATGGCTGATATTCCTTTCACTTGCAAATTTTAGAGGAAACAAATGCAAAAACTGTTTAATTGAAAACAACCTTTTTCTTTGTTTCATAAAGCACATTTCTGACCACGATCAGGATCAACTTGTAAGCAGAGCTGCCTCTGTCAAAATAGGCTATGTGGCCTTTGAAGTGTAAAAGGACCAAGCTTCTTTCATTTATATCTCTGAGTCTGTTGTTAAAAGGGGATTGACAGGAGAAATCCGTTTCCCCAACCCTTTGCTCTCATGTATTAAGTTCAATCCTATTAATTCAGGATTTATAGACAGGAAGTTTTCCTTGATCCCTCTATACTGATGTTAATTGACTAATCTTGCATACTAATACAGTAGATAGCTCCTTGAGTTGGTATGCAATAAGGTGCCGACAACAAAAATGGATTCATAGCTGAGAATCAAACCAAGATCTCAAAATTTTTAGAATGTAACAGTTACATTCACACCTTCCTTCTTCCTATGCAATGATAGTTTTCTCTAATGACTAGGATGATGGACCCTGTGATCTAAATGACGAGGGGTGGGCTAAATAGATGTGTGGATAGTTTAAAGTATAATTTAAAAATGGGAAAGAAAGAAATTATTCCCTTAGTACAATGAGAAATCAAGACTGTCTTGAAGTCTACCTGCCTAACGCTTTACTTTTATGTTTAGTTCTGGAGAAAACAGAATTTGACATGCAGCCCGCAAGCGCCTCATGAAGAAAGCTGTGGAAATCAGCTTTTCATGACGCCTGTGCAGTTTTTGTGTGGTGCAATTCACTTCCTTGTTAGTTTTAATTAAAATCTTTATTACAACAAACAAAATATTCTCATTTCACATAATCTAAACCCCTCATCCAAGAGCCCCCACGTAAAGCCCCTAGAGCCCCACAGCATGCATATACTGGAGTCTAGGGAAGGGCCTTCAGCAGTACGCTCCATTCCCAATATGGGGTCCTGCACCCATTCAAGGAAGGGGGTGAAGTCTGGGCATTTTGAGCAGGATCAGAGGACAGCAAAACCTTCCATCCTGCTGTCGCCACATTTCTTTTTCCTCCAGAGCAGCCAAAGAGAGGGAGGAGGGATGTGGGAGAGGCATTACATATCCCCAGCTGAAGTGCCTGCCTGACAGAGGCCATCCTGCAGTCCAAGAGTCACAGTTCATCCTCATCAAGTTTGGCAAGTTGGGCGCTGCCTTGAGGAACGTTAATTTCTGGGACCTCAGGATCGGGGAGCAGCAGCCTGGCATCATCTTCAATCAGGACCTAATTGGGGGGGGGGGACAAAGAGATGATCAACTACAGAAATCTTTTCCAAAACTGCTGCTGTCAGGAACATTCTGCCAGGCTCATTCAGTATGTTTAGAAAAAAAATAATTTGTCAAGCAAAGCAATCCAAATTCCTCCTTAAGAAAAGCTGCACTCTGATCTGCATACATTGTGCATAATTTCATTATATTAGAGCATGTGAACCATATTTTATATTAACAGCCATGCTGGAGCAGTGGTTAGAATGCAATATTGCAGCCTGCCCACTGGCCAGGAGTTTGATCCTGACCGGCTCAAGGTTGACTCAGCTTTTCATCCTTCTGACATTGGTAAAATGAGGACCTAGATTGTTGGGGGGGGGGGGGCAATATGCTGGCTTTGTAAACTGCTTAGAGAGGGCTGTAAAGCACTGTGAAGCAATATACAAATTTAAGTGTTAGATTAGTCCAGGTTTGGGACCATCCAATATTTTGTCTCCCCAAAGCCTATTTCTAGAATATGAAAAATCACCTTTTGTTTCCAGTCTCACAAAATGGGATTTGATACTATTATTTTAAAATGAGAATTAAATACAAAATTTTGATAGTTGTAGGCAGACATGTTATCTAAGCATATTTCTCTCTCTCTCTCTCTCTCTCACACACACACACACATATATATATAATTGATTTACGATTTACCTTCCTTCAGCTAATTATAACAATAATGACCCTACTTGCAATGATCTACACTTTTCTATCAGCCATTTTATCAGAGCAAGAAATGTATCAGTAGCAGCATCTTCAATATTTACTATATGATTGTCCCAAAGACAAAGGGACAATTGTAGCGTCACTGCAAGTGCAACCAAAGTCTCTTGAATCTCTTAAGCACACAATAAATCCTCTGCAAACTCGAAAGATGGTATAGTGAAGTGGTCAAGAATATTAAACTAGGAGAAGAGAAATCCACTCTTAGCCATGAAGTTCCTTAGGTGAGTATTTTACCCTAACTGCACTCACAGGATTGTTGCATGAATAATAATGACTACATAGCAGTAAACAATGTATGCCACCTCCAGTTCCTCAACAAAAAGGAATTGTAAAAGTGAAATCAAGAAACTACTGGGTATCACTTCCCTGACAAAAATGTACAAAATATATGTAAATAATAATATGTAGTGTATCCATTTAACTTTATATGTATATAATAGAGAGAAATGATGGGTATCAAAAGCCTAAGTGATAAGCTATTTGCAAGCTGCTTCTTATGTTACTTGCACCTGCATAATCAACCCATCTTCTACTCCCTTTTCTCACTCACCTCTTTCTCGCAACTCACTGCAATTTAATCCTACATCAGTCTGGTCTCTCTATGGATCTGATGAAATGAGCTACAGCTCACAAAAATGACACTTTTTAATAACATTTGTTAGTCCAAATAGGTGTTACCAAATTCTAGTTCTTTTCTCCGGGACGGATGACTGTGTATGAAATGAGACAGTTCTGTCTAGGAACTTTTTATCTACATAATAACTCGTAGAAAAACTATGACGTATAATGACTGCTCATATTTTTACACACACACACACACACACACATCAACTAAAGAAAATTACAAGTAAATGAGAGGGGAAAAAAACATTGTACGAGAACCTAGTGTGGTTTTAATGGCCAGAAGTTGAAAATGTAGTTTATAGCAGTAGCTTCTCTACCTGCTAATACATATGTGTGTTGTACAAAGTGCACCTGGGTGCAAATATTTCCTTGGTTTGTAGTCTCCATGCCTGGATAGTAGAGAAGAAAAAGTTGGAAGAAAGGGGGACAGAGTGTCAAAGCTTTTAGTGGAGTCCTTGCCATTCTATTATCAGCGGCTCCCAACCTTTTCTATACCCCGCACCCCTAGAACGCTTCTGATATATTCTTGCACCCCTTACAAGCGTTCAAAATAAAGGCAACGAATTATGCATATACATTATAATTTTGAAAACCCAAGTTTTCGCACCCCCTGGAATACTGTCTTGCACCCACAGGGGGTGCAAGAACTTCTGGTTGGGAACCCCTGCTATTATGATATGCGATCATGAAAAATATTATTTATCACAATCCAACTTCATAGAAAAAAGAAATGAATCAGGCAAAAGAACCAAATTCTGTTGACAGAAGTGAGCGGCTGAACTTTACCTGGTGGGAGACCCATGAGTAGCAGATTCCTAAGAAATAACATGCCTAGCAGATGAGATTAATACCTGAATGTCTTGCCCTCTGAGGTAGCCTGTAGTGTCATTTTGATCAGTAAAATTGTGGGTGCTTTGATATTTTAAAAATAGGCTTAACAGACCAGTCTCACGGGGGTTTACACAGAAGCAATTCCTACATGTTTAGTTTTTCTTGATACATTATTGACACATTAAAAGAGAGGAGAAAAAGAATAACAGAAAAGAAATGGCCCAGGTACTATCTATTGCTTTTGCAAATCATCTAATCTTTTAACCCCTGTAAGTTACTAATTATTCATAGAAAAACGAATCCATAAGAATTATGAGTCATTTCCTCAATTTGATAATCAGAAATGGTGAATGCTACTGCATTTCAGTCATGTGGGGATGTACAAGATTCTGGCTATTTGCATTCTCATGGCATAACCATAAACTAGAGAGAACCCATGTTTGATCAGAATGCAACTTTTTCTAGGCAACAAAGGGCGTTTCCTGGTGATCATTGGATAATGAGTTTAATGAACTCCATTATGGCTAGCCAGTCTAATTTAATACGTACAGTCCATTTGAATGCATGAAAGTGCAACATCATGCTAGGGTGGACTATATAATGTGCCAAAGATCAGAAGAAGTTCAAAGTATTACAGAGGGATAACAGCACCGAGTGCAGACATGAGCTTCCATGATCAAGAGCTGCTTAAGAACAGCCACGGTAGTTAAATCTCAGTTTTGTCTTGTAAATGGAAGAATACAGATAGTCCTCAACGTATGACTACAATTGAGCTCAAAATTTTCTGTTGTTAAGCGAGATCATTGTTAAATGAGTTTGGCCCCATTTTACGACTTTGTTTGCCAGAGTTGTTAAAATACTAACATGATTGTAAAGAGAATCTTGCTTCCCATTGGCTTTCTTGTCAGAAGATGTCAAAAGGTGATCACATGGCCCCTGGACATTGCAACCACCATTAAGTATGAGCCAGTTGACAAGCATCTGAATTTTGATTACATGATTATGGGGACACTATAATGGTTGTAAGTGTGGAAAAAATGGACCTACGTCACTTTTTTCAGTGCCGTTGTAATTCTGAACCATCACTAATTAAATGGTTGTAAGTCGAGGATTACCTGTATTCCATTACGAGATTGATAAAAGCCAATTGTCGCAAGACCAATATTTTAGGTTATAAAATAGAAGACAAAGAGAATCTCAGTGTGTAAACTGGGCAAAGTGAGCAAAGGGTATATGTGTGTGCATGTGGGTGCACGTAACATGCAACGTTTTTTCTATTCTACAGCTAATTACTTTATTTGCTCCTGTTTGCCTGCTACCTCTCCCTTTATCTTTCCCACATTGGGAACTCTTCCTAGACTTACAAGGGAAATTCAAGGGAACCAGAATAATCTGATTGTTTTTGGTAGTTATCTGATTACTAATTTTTACAAACCTTCTGCTTATATTAGTTGTGAAAATTGTACTGATCAACAACACGCTTAAACTGAGAAATATGTTGAAGGGGCAACTGCATTTAAACTTGGATTCAATTGTTTATCGTTGCTGTCTGCAGTGATTGTGCTTACCAAGATCCCAAAGGGGGAGGGGAAAGTTCTTTACAATTACCCTCTCCCAAAACAAAACACTGGTTACATGCCAAAGGTCAAGGACCAATGAGTACATACTGTATGTGTGTGTGCACACATGCAGGTAGAAATTTAAGCTCCAGCAAAAGGGAAAGGAGATAATTTTACAAGGGAAATTCAACGGAACCAGAATAATCTGATCATTGTGATTATTCTGAACTCACCAAGAACTCACCAATTGCTGGGCTTCTTGCTGAGGGACACTGGAGAGCTGCGTATCAGGTTGCTGAGAAGGTATGTGAGCAGGTTCAGGCCCTGGAGAGCTTTGGCTGTGAGATGGCTGTCAGTGAAAGGTGGGATGAAGAGATTAATTTGGAGAGAAACAGTACAGAAAAACAAACCAGAAGCTGAGCATTTTGGGGATGAGTACTACATTTAGCACTGGACATAAGAAATTACTCTTAAAAGGACATGATGGTTTTCTGCGCTGAAGATATGTCATACCATTCATAGCTTCACTGAAACCATCATTAATTTAGCACATATTTTGATTGCTCTCAAGATGAGAAGCATGGACTCCATTAATCTAATGAATTAATGAATCAACTGATCTCACAGATTAAAAAAAAACAGTCCCCAAGTCTTTCCCTTTTATTATGCCTACATGCATATACATTTAATAAATATAAGCATATAAATTTAATAAGCATAAGCATACAAATTTAATAAATAGAAGGATCAAATAGATGTTTAAAAAGATGTCAAATGATCAATGACCAGTAAACACATAATAATCATTGTCTGAATGGCCTCACAATACATGCATCTGGTTTATCTACATCAATTAATCTGCTCTAAAGTTACCTTTTCTCAGTCCCTCTTCCCTAACACTCTGATAGGTAAATCAACACTTTGCTATATATGTGCATGCAAAGATTTTTCCCTTGTATATTCAGTGAATGATACTAAATAATAATTGTTTAGTAGCAACAGCAGACAATATACTCTCACCTGCCCTGTTCTGGTTCTTCTGGTATCTCTGCCTCAAGGATGGACCAAACAAACAAAAAATTGGGTTGCTTGGGGCATGGATTCCATCCATCCATCCATCCATCCATCCATCCATCCATCCATCCACCCACTCACTCACTCACTCACTCATTTTTCCTATTTTTTTAACTGCCCATTCTGGGAGACCACGAAAACCCATTCTGTTCATCTGAATGGCCTTTCCTTAACAAAAGGAAGAAGTCATCTCATCTTAGATGAGCTGGAACAGAGTTAAGAAGTCCTCCTCTAGGTCTTTCTCAACCTGACATCCTTTTCATTGGACTATGACTCCATCATCTCCAACTCTCAGCATTTGGACAGAGCAGTTGTAATTCATAGACAGATAAACATATATATTGTACGTACACTGGGCACAGGTTCAGAGTCCTTTGACCCTACTGAGTTGTTCTAAATAAAATGATGTATGGTAGCCAAATATATTAGTGTTTATTTTCAATACTTCCATGGTATCTTTCACTATAATTATCTTTAGGACAGTTTTCTTAGGAAAGAGCAACATATTAAGTAAATGGCCCCAGTTCCTCATTATTTGTTGAGTTGCTCTATTAAAAGATGGCCAATAACCTCCTCTCCTATTTCTTTTTTTCACATCAATAATGGAAATTTTACAAAATTACATTGATTAGGAATGGAGCAAGAAACTGTTTTGTCTTTATGGCAGCCTGTTCACAACCTCTTTCAAGCAACAGACAGGATAGAATTATTTTAATTATGAATTGCTGTTTTTATATAATGGTTATTTTGGGCATTCAAATTCTGAGTAGGCTCATCGCTACTGCTTAATTAAATCAAATTACTGCATCGAACGTTAAGCTTTCTTCTCCAAAGTAGAAAATCTGTGTCAGCTACACACACCAAATTGCTATACTATCTGAGGTGGGAGCCCGACTGATGACCTTCTTGCCTTACCTCGACAGAGGGGAGGGGGTCAGATGGGGCTGGACCAGGAAGATAAAGGGAGGGCAGGGAGGCATTGTGGGCCTGGAGGCTGGATCCCTTGTTCTGGTCCATGGAGGTTGAGGAGGAGGGCCGAGTTGAGCCACCTGTCAGTGAGTGGTGCAGAGCCCCCGTTCGTCCTAGACTGTGGGTTTTGCTCTCCCGACGCTGGTACTCTATGGGCGACTGCAGTGCTGGGAAGGGAAAAAAACAATAGGAACAGACTTTGAACAATGGGGTCAACCTGGGAACATAAAATAATGTACATGCCAAAAAGAAGTTGTATGGTGTTCAGCGAGAATAACAAGAAACCCTTTCTGAACCAAGAGGTAATTTCATTGAGTAAAATTACTACATGATGATTTGCCTGTCTGAATTAGCCATCATAGATTAGGCTTATCTGTACCCTAACATCATCTACCAATTGCTCCCCTGACTAATGTACTGAGGTGGCTACTGGAGAAGGCTGGAGAGTGAGAACCCTGATCATTTTTGAGTGATCATTCTGTAAATTGCTCAGAGGCACTTAGGCGAGATGGGTGATATAGAAAATTGATAAATAAAAATAAAATAACTTTTCTTAGACTTTAACAATAGATTTCTTGTTGCTGGCATGTTTGGTGAGATTGGGTTTATTTGATCTGAAGTAGCATAATTTTGGGGATAAATATAGTTTAAAACGTCATTGCCCTCCAACCCAAAACAATTGGAATTCTCAAAAAATCTAGCCAGATTTATATTTCCTCCTCTTCTTTCTTCTCCAGTTTCCCTCTTTCTTTAACAATATGGAAAGTGTCTGTAACTCCATCAACTGTTTGCCCAAATAGGACTGCTGAGTTCTAGCACTTTTAATACCATGTGAAAAGTTAGACAATCTACAAACCAGAGTTACTGTCAGAGCCAAGGTAGCTACACTGCATTCCCTTGTATCTCCTTCAAATCCTGTTTTATCCAATCATCCTTTCTTTTCTTTCTACCTCAGCAGCAATTTCAGATTTTATTTTATGTCATTGGTTGACATCACCCAGAGAAATAACTTCCTTTGGAAAGGCAGTGCTTTTTTTTTTTTTTTTTTAGCTCAAGGATTCTCTAAATTCTTCCTTTTTTTCCCAATCAATTTCTGTAGAGATGGCTTTGATTTTTTTCCCCCCCCAACTACAACTGTGGCTGGCTGGTTTGCCTTTTCAGCAGGGCGTTCCATTTTTTTAACAGCAGAAATTGTTGAGCATAATGTTTTTCTTCTCCTGCCTCAACCACAGATTTTATTAATACCTCTGTTACTGAAGTAGGCCTGCATGTTCTGCAGCAACCAAAACCACAAGTATTTCTTTTCCCCCCAAATATCCAGTTGACAGCTACTTTTTTCTTAATAGTTTTTTCCTCAGTTTCTTTTTTTTTTTTAATTGATTCCTTTAGACAACCTACCTTTTCTTTAGCTTCAGCCCATGTTCTGAATCAGGGATACAATGATCAAGAATATAGTTATCCAATCTAATAATCCCTGTTGTCTCCTGGTAAGGATTAGTATTGGGACCCACAGTAACCCTTCTATAATAAATGGTACAAATTGATGCTGCACTGTATTATAGTTCTTTCAAGCAACCCTCCTTTTCCTCTCCTTTCACTGAGAGACTTGCCACTGGTGATACAAAAGGGTTTTAGTTTCCTAATTTGTCTGTCAATACAGATATTTTTTCTATCCACTGATTTTCTATATAAAGCAGACAAGGAGGCAGATATGTTTCTCATTTCCTCAAACTGGGATTCTCTTATTTGTCAATTCCATCACATTTCATAATTAAAAGCCCATATTTGCATACTTCAATTGTACTATCTTTTCCTTTTTTTGGCCAGAATGGGCTACCTAAAATAATAGTCTTCACATGATCCTTTTCTTACCACAGTTACAGTATAACTTGTCCTCTATGTAACTCTTCTGCAACTATTGTGTATTTAAAGTTGCTGAAAAAAATGTAAACCTCTTGCACATAGTTGGTTTAAAGACATTCAAAGCACTTGTTCTTCAGAAAAGTTGTTGTATATATCTGCCAGCTCTCCTCAAATCAAACATAGTATGAATATCATTAAGTTCTTGTTTCTTACGTTCCATTAAAAACCAACAGAAAGATGTATGGATTAGGATCTTCCACAACCATACATGATAAAACCTAATGGTATCGTTCAGTTGAAGTTTAACTTGCAATATTTCTTTTTCATAATGGTGAGCCTCTATATCTCAAAGCCATTTGAATTTTCTTTGTTTTATTCTCTTTTCTTTCAGCTTTTATTTCCTTAACCTGTTCTGTTCCCTGAAAATATTTATAAATATTTCATTTCTTTAACTACTCTTTTTTTTTAGTCAGTAACAGTCTCATACCTTTCATGCTGGTTTTATAACATAAAACCATTTGTCCTCACATTAAAAAAAAAAAAGCTAGCTTTGTTTATTGTCCAGGAAATGGAATTAAGTTTTGTTAAATCAAAAAGCCGTTGTGGCACAGTGGTTAGAATGTAGTATTGAAGGCTAACTCTGCCCGCTGCCAGGAGTTCAATCCTGACCGGCTCAAAGTTTATTCAGCCTTCCATCTTTCCAAGGTCAGTAAAATGAGGGCCCCCGCTTATAGAAGGCTGTAAAGCACTATGAAGCTGTATATAAATCTAAGTGCTATTGTATCAATTTTCTTCTTTTTTCTACGCACCTATTTTCTCTATGGTTTCTAATTTTCTGTGCTATTCTTTAAAACTAACTTTTTCCTCAGATTTTCTTCATTTCTGCCTCACTTTTTCTAAAAGCTTTTTAGTCAGATAAATTGATTTGGCAGTATACAAGTTGAATAAATAAATAGATAAATAGATAAACAAACAAACTCCTCTGGGAATCCATATTATATTGCTGTGGCTTCATGTGCTGAAACCAGGTTTATTTGATTAGAAATAGCAAATTTAATTTGGAAATAAATAAATGTACTTTAAACACTTGCTGTCACCAATCCAAAATAATAGGGGATTTATTATACTGAAATGCACTCCTTATCAACTATTTTCATGGCAGTGTAATATTTAGAGAAGAGCTGTTATATTCTGGCTCTCATTTATTCAGAAGGCCAATTTTTTTATAAACAACTGAAATGTTAACTATATCATATGACCAGGAAGATTTATAATCAATTTATAAAGATATAAATTGTTTTTGTTTAGACATATATATCTGTGCTTATTTGCACAATGTTTCCTGATTTTTTTGGGGGGGGGAAATACCTAATATCAATGACACTACAGAGCTTAATATAAGATTACTTCTTTATTGTGCTAATTTTATTATAATCTGATGAAGCATAAGAATAGTATAATGGTATTACTTCTTCACATTTATTGCATATACCATTAGCCTCCCAAAGGCTCTGTTTAAGATGGCTCAGGCCTTGCTAAGCAAGCATCTGCTCCTTGGTCTGTCAGTGATTTTGATATCATGATACCATGTTTAGAGGTTCTTCTTTCTTGTGGTTGGTTCCAGTCAATATTGACAGAAAACCAGGCTGTTTCCCCAGGCCTTGAAATAGGAATAGTATCAAGCCTTTGTAGGATTTGTCATTGGTTATGAATTGTTTGTTTGTATGTCAATGATTTTTGCTTCTTTATCATTCTTGTTGTTAAAAGTTGTTAGTTGCCTACTGTCTTGTGGACTCAGATAATTTCTAAATTTTAAAATTAAAAGTAAATATTCCAACTAAAAAATTGGAAGTATTGAAAAGGCAGCATAAGCAAACTTGCAGGTTTTGCCTCCACGTTCTATGTAATGAGTAGAACGACCTCCATTTGGGATTCTGGGGCTCCCTTCCTTCAAATGTGTTTTGTACTGTGTTTGATCTGTACAAATCAAAACACCCCCTTGTGAGATATGTTTGTTGCTTCTTTGTTCACTTTCATTAAGACCTGATCTTATTAGAATGAAAGTTATAGACGAATTGACAAGTGGGAATCACATCTGTGAATAACAAAAACTTTCCTAGGAGTAGAAAACCAGCATGTAGGCAGCAAGCTGAGATGGAACTGTTGCCCTGGTTCCTTACCTATTAGAAGGATTCCCTGAGAAATAAGCCCAATTTCTGCCTACAGTGATCAACCTAGGTACTGCTGTGGCAAAGAAAAAAAGCTGCAAAATTGAGATAAGAAACTGATATATATGATATTGAAGGTCAAGAATAAAAAAAGCAAAATAATTAATAAGGGGAGAATTAAACAGTCCCTTCATTGATGAAACAGTACCTGGATCAAAATTATGAGACTTGGTGAAATACAAGATCAGTTAATCAGAATAGAGCTGGAAGGGACCTTGGAGGTCTTCTAGTTCAACCTCCTGCTCAAGTAGAAGACCCTGTAACATTTCAGACAAGTGAATGTCCAGTCTCTTCTTAAAAACCTCCAGTGATGAAGCACCCACAACTTCTGAAGGCAAGCTGTTCCTCTGGTAAATTGTCCTCACTGTTAGGAAGTTTCTCCTTAATTCCAGGTTGCTTCTCTGATTAGTTTCCATCCATTTTTTCTTGTCCTGCCCTCTGGTGCTTTGGAAAATAAGTTGACCCTCTCCTCTTTGTGGCAGCCCCTCTAATATTGGAATACTCCTATCATGTCCCCCCCCCCAGTCTTTGTTTTCTTTAGACTAGCCAAACCCAAATCCTGCAACCGTTATTCATATGTTTTAGTCTCTGGGCGTTTAATCCAAAATATATCAAATTCCGCAAAAGCCAAAACTTACTATATTATTTTAAAGCCTCTAACTCAAATTACAATTTGAAATTTTCCTTCTTATCTATGAACTACTGTTTCCCATATTTCCACAAAGCAGTGTGGAAATTTCATAGTTGTCATCCTATCCAGTCCACATGATGAGCTGAGAATGTGATGTAAGGAATCCTGAAGCCATGGAGGAAGATTGGGCAAAGTTTAAAAGGCAGTTTCCAAATGCATGATTTGAATGGCCAAAATTGGTAGGCAGCTATGTTTTTACTCCTACCATTAAGGAAGTCACGTTGTGTTTCCAAGATGAGGTTAATGTCAGTCACCCAGGCCTGGGCAATCTCCGGTGTTTCTGCCTGCAGTACATAACGGATGGTGCCCCGTTCTGCGCCACGAAAGATCAGTGCAAATTTGCAGGGATCATTGTCCACACAAGGCTCCAGGCCCAAAGAGCTTACCTGGAAGAGAAATGGATAATGGATCAACCTAGAGTTGTGACTGCAACTGAGACACTAGATTAAATAAAGACAATAAAGTGAAATTGGCCCAGGATTAATCCAGACCACATGAGTATGGTATCTTTTCCCAGGCAACAGTGCTAAAAAGCAAGAAAATTATATTAATAAAATAGGCACTCAGAGAGAGGAAGAGATTCAGCAGTCAAGTAAATACAAGTCTTTACTTATTTTTTTGAGAGAAGACTTAGACTTAGCTTATTCCAATTCATAAAACATAAAACATGTGCCATACAGTGATATATTACAAGTGTTTAAAGTACAGTATTACAACCCCAGTCTCAACATCATCTTTTATTTTTTGGCTGCCAATACAGAAATTGTATGGCTTTTTGGTTATATGGTTATATCCTGATGCAAACAGAAGCTACATTCATTGATTGGCGTAAGGCATGGAAATCAAACAAATATTACTTTTTTCCATTAGATCTGCTGTACTGTTTACTATTAGTATTATCCACATATTCTCGAATTGCAGCTGTAAGTCCAGATATCTGCATATATCAAACAGCATACCAAATTTACTATGTGATATTACAGTATACAAACAGACCAGGCCCCTGTAGAAAGATGGGACACCTAATTTTGGATATGGAACATTTTCACTGTAAAGTCCCTTATGAGTTAAGTGCCAGATGTTTAAATGTAGCTCAGTTCCCCACTGTTAACTCTGGAATACCTTGATGCTGCTCTTAAAGGCATATGTTGGGGCAGCATATGGACCACGCCTTCGCTCCAGGGTCTCACTTAGGATAACAATTTGCTCAAAGAGAAAGATGCGGCGCTCACGAGCCCGGGCCAGGATCCCGCCTGCCTGCTCTATTACCAAAAAAGTGTTCTGCTGCAGCAGTTTCCCTTGAGAAGTCAGCTTCCCCTAAAGAAAAAAAGTAACCTGCAATTTATTCAACTGTTTAAATGGCATAAAATTACCCTACTCTGAGAGCTGAAGGTTAGTACGGCCTAGCACACCCTTTTAATGCTGCTCTATGTCAAAGGTTCTTTCCCGCCAAAATGGAAGCTTTCCCTGTCAACAATTTTCCAAAAGGTAGCTTGGGACAGCATTCACACATGCCACTATAGTTGAAGTGGTAGTTTCAACAACTGCACCATCAAGCATTTCAAAACATCTATCTTAAATTTTCCTTCTGGCCAAAATGTCCCTAAATCTTGCCCTCCCCCACCCATATGATATCCTATATTTTAGGCTCACATACCCAAGTAAATCGGTATTGAAGTTGAGATTCTTCAGAAATAACCAATTAAGACCCTTCCTTGAAGATGTACAGCCTTCCTATCACTGTAAGACTAGAGTGATGATAGGGGGGAGGGCGGTGGAAGAAGAGAATCGTTTCAATGCTGTCTACTATACTGAGCTAGCTAATCAGAAAAATCAGAACTAAGAGTCTCCAACCAGACACTGATCTTCAGAATTTACCTCAAAGCCTTGAAGACGTCCCACATTCATCATGTCGTTGCAGCGTTTGGGAACAAAGCACATAACATCTACAGCTTTCTGAAATTCAAATGTAGAGAATGAGGCTACAGAAGATGTACTGGATTCTCCAAGACTGATGCCACTGGATATATCAATTTCAGGGCTCATCAATGAGCTATAATAACCTTTTATTCTACATCTTAAACTACAAAGGCGAGGGAAAATTGAGGGGAAATCACAAAATAAGATCTGCTAGTCATATAGAAGGCTTCACTGGCCTGAGATCTGAAGATACAGTATATCAAATATACAATAACTGATATAGGATGTGGATTCTCCATCTGCCAATCTTCTCACAGCTGTCAATCTTGTAAACGCTGGGTGGTATTCCAGCCAATCCACATGATATTTCAATTGACCCATGAGACTGTAGTTTTTCATTCAAAAGCAATAGTGTAATATCAAGATTATTTATATAGGAACAGTGGCTCTATGATAGCTCTCATTGGTTTCAACTCCTACCTCCAGCTGTTCCGTGTCCTTCCCAGCTTTGCTGTAATACTTCAGGAAATCCTGGAGAGAGCAAGAGAAAGAAAAGAGGGGAAGAATAAGTGTTTTTATAAGGGAGAGAAAGAGAGTAACAGGAGCTAGTTGCTCATGAGTTCCATCCATTGTTACCATTGTTCTATAGTTACCATTGTTACCATTACCTAGTAACCATTGTTCTATGACTTACCTACATCAGCTTACACCAATTTGGTGTCCCCTTCAAATACATTGGGAATATAACTGACTGTTTTGCACTCAGCATCTACTAAACTCACAATCCTCTAACAGCATGACCACTGATGAAAGCTTACAATCCAACACATTTGAAGGCTACCAAATGTGGCAAGAGTGATATAAACTCCAATCTCCTTCGAGAAGAGATGAGTCATGATTTAGAACTAAATTGTATCCTATCCGAAGATCGTTGGCAGCAGCAGAGCCATTACAAAACCTCACCGCTGTGTATTTTGTTTGCATAAAGGCCAACATTCCCATTAGGCAGGAATCTATAACTGGATCAATTTCCCAACTTTTAAATCAGCTACATGGACATTTGTGTACATTCACGTACTGTGCAGAGGTAACGCCATTTGGAGCAAAAATATTGAGGATTTTTTTTACATCTGCCAGTTTTTCAAATCATAATCACACTCATCACATTGTGACTATCTTGACAAAACACATTAAACTATATTAATCTTGAGAACACTGAAATTAAAATTCTAAAGATGAACAATAATTTTTTTTTTAAAAAAATGCAAGCTTGTATAACTGGACTAATGTAAGAGAAAATATAATTCTTTCAGAGCATCCCCTTCTCTAAATTATATTCCCAGGGTCCTGGGAAACACTAAAACCTGTTAGCTTTGCCATAAAATACTCAACAACCTGAGTGATATCAATAAATTTAGAAGATATTAAAAGATGAAAAAGGCTCAGGCAAGTAAAACCATTAGAAAATAAATACATAAAAGAAGTTCCCTGCCTGAAATACTGCCTCTTTGTTTTCTCAAATACATCATTGTCTTTATAGTACTTGCTCCCATTGCCTAATAGAATCTAGCCCACAATTGACCTCTCCAAACACATCATGTGTTGCTACACCCAAACAAATACACTTGTACTGTTATATCCAATCACATCTACATTCTAATTTACATAATTAATTCCTTTGTTTAGAGGAACTGAATCTCTACCCCCTTCTAGGTTTGTTTATTATAGTACTAGAGGCAACAGAAGCAACCTTGCTTTAACAAAATTATGTGCTGGCTTTCAGTTTAACTGAACTTTTGGGGAAATCGGTGAGTGACTTTTCTTCTAAATAGAAAAAAAAAGAATGTTAATGCTTCTAGGATAACTCAGTGGGGTAGGTATAGGGTTGACAGCAGTACCTAACAAAAAATGGGCCCAAAGCAGCTTTTAGTTGGAACAACAGAGCAGGAGGGAGAGCAATAATGTTGTAATAATTCCTCTATGGGAATCTGGCTCAGATGGATATCTGCTTATCTGGCTTCTAAGTTGTGTTGCCTGTATTTGTGTATATAACACACCATTCCAAAAACAGAAAACATCCAGGGCTCTCTTTATCCAAAGGAAACAAAAACCAACAGTGCTATCCTTTAAAGGCCTTAGTATTCAGGGAATTGGAAATATGGCATATACAAAAAGAGAAGGCCGAAGAACATGAGGTAGACCCAGAAGAAGATGGACAGACAACATCAAAGATACATTACAACACCATCAACAATGGTTGAGGCCACCGGAGGAGGAGGGGGAGGAGGGGGAGGAGGAGGAGGAGGATTAAAAATGGTGGCAAAAGTCAAGAGACAGTTGATGTAAAAAACGTAGACAGGATGACAAATTCAAATTTGTTGTCATTAATGTCTGAACTGGGCATACTTTCTGTTTGGCCCATCACTAATGCAGGCGACTCATTACTTTCTGAATGCAGGAATGGATGACTGTCTTCCTTCCACTCGAATTCCATTCCAAATGCACCCCATTCTCAAGTTTTCCATCTTCAATTCAAAACTGCTGTTTTCAAACTCAAGCCATCCTGGATTCTTTGGAGAAGATGGTCTCCATGCTCCATTTTGTTCTAAGAGCAATTCTGATTGGCTCTGGTGCCTGGTACACTGCCTCTCCTCCACTGGGGGGTCCTGCCCTTAGTATTCCAGCATCTGAGCTTTCCCTTCCCTTTCCTTTCCTGCCTTTCATTTCATTTGATCATCTTTACATGCAATGTAGAAACATTGCTACTTTACTTCTGTGAAGCTGAATAATCAGTTCTTCCTTGCTGCAGATTCCATAGTCCTGTAGAGAAATGTAGATGCAAACAACCCTTTTCCCTATTGCGTTGATGATTTATTTATTTATTTCTATTTATTTATTTTCAAATATTTATATGCCGCCCAATCCCAAAGGACTCAGGGCGGCGTACAAAGTTAAAACAATGATAAAACAATAAAATAAAACAGTCATACCACGAGTCCGATCATATCCCGGCCCCCCGGGGACATCAGCCCCAGGCCTGCCGGAACAGGAGGGTTTAAACGGCCTTCTTAAAGGCCGGCAGGGTGGGAGTAGTTCGAACCTCGGGGGGAAGTTGATTCCACCAGGTCGGAGCCACCACAGAAAAGGCCTTTCCCCGAGGGCCCGCCAGCCGACATTGTCTGGCCGACGGGACCTGAAGGAGGCCCAATCTATGGGACCTCACCGGTCTCTGGGAGCTGTGCGGCAGTATGCGGTCCTGTAAGTAACCTGGCCCTATGCCATGAAGGGCTTTAAAGGTGATAACCAACACCTTGAATTGCGTCCGGAGACCCACAGGAAGCCAGTGCAGCTCGCGGAGGATAGGTGACATGTGGGCGTACCTTGGCGCGCCCACAATCGCTCTCGCGGCTGCATTCTGAACCAACTGCAGCCTCCGAACGCTCTTCAAGGGTAGCCCCATGTAGAGTGCGTTACAGTAATCCAGTCTTGAGGTGACAAGGGCATGAGTGACTGTGAGTAAAGCCTCCCGGTCCAAATAAGGCCGCAACTGGTGCACTAGGCGAACCTGGGCAAAGGTCCCCCTGGCCACAGCCGATAGATGTTGTTCCAGATTTAGCTGTGAGTCCAGGAGGACACCCAAGTTGCGTGCCTGCACTGAGGGAGGTAAATTTGCCCCCCCCAGGACTAAAGATGGACCATCCAGTTGGCCTTTGGGAGGCAAGACCCAGAGCCACTCGGTCTTGTCAGGGTTGAGTCTAAGCCTGTTCACCCCCATCCAGACCCTCACATCTTCCAGGCACCGGCACATCACGTCGACTGCTTCACTGAAAGGACACGGGGTGGAGATATATAATTGGGTATCATCCGCGTACTGATGATACCTCACCCCGTGTCGCCGAATGATCTCACCCAGCGGTTTCATGTAGATGTTAAAAAGGAGGGGGGACAGGACCGAGCCCTGAGGCACCCCATGATCGAGGCGCCTAGGGGTCGATCTCTGTCCACCCGCCAACACCGACTGCGACCTGTCAGAGAGGTAGGAGGAGAACCACCGCAATACGGTGCCGCCCACCCCCACCTCTCCGAGACGACGCAGAAGGATACCATGGTCGATGGTATCGAAAGCCGCTGAGAGGTCAAGAAGCACCAGGATAGAGGAATGACCCCTATCCCGGGCTCGCCAGAGGTCATCGGTCAGTGCGACCAAAGCAGTCTCAGTGCTGTAGCCGGGCCTGAAACCAGATTGAAAAGGGTCCAGATAATTGGTTTCATCCAAGGATCGCAAGAGTTGAGACGCCACCACCTTCTCTACAACCTTCCCCACAAAGGGGAGGTTGGAGACGGGACGAAAGTTCTTCAAAACAGCTGGGTCCAGGGAAGGCTTCTTGAGGAGGGGCCTCACCACCGCTTCCTTTAAAGGTTGCGGGAAAGACCCCTCTATCAAGGAAGCATTGATTATCGCCTGGAGCCAGCCTCGTGTCACCTCCCTACTGGCAGAAACCAGCCAGGAGGGGCACGGGTCCAATAAACAGGTGGCGGCATTCATTGCCCTCACGGCCTTGTCCACTTCATCAGGGGTCACATGCTCAAACTCGCTCCAGATAACATGACTAAGACCAGCCCCTGCTGTATCATTGTATCATTGGAGCTGTAAAGGTATCATAGCATCTGCATTTAGTGTCAAAGGAAATAATCTGATAAGGGAAAGGTGGAGGCATTTATGCATGCAAACTTCTGAAGAAGCAAAGGCAAGGCATAAGGAAGCAATCTCTAAAGCGAAAAGGCAGGCACTAGTACAGTAGTACTCACAGGATCCAACCAACAAAGCAGAAGATGGTGACTTAATTTATTACATTTTTAAACCACGCATCTTCCTCATTGAAGGAGTCCCATCTTAAGGCATGAAAGTGAGCAGAGTGACTTTGAGCCAGTCACTCTTTTTCAGCCCAAACCACCTCATAGAGGAGTTGTTGTGGGAAAAATAGGAGGAGGAAGGAGTGCTGTATTAAGTATGTTGGCTGCTTTGAGTTACTTGCAAAAATAATAAAGGTGGGATTTAAAAAAAATCTAAAACAAAAAGACCAATTGGAACTTGGAGTGGCCCTTGTCTAGAGTAGAATGTCTGAAGCTGGCATAAGAAACAAGTGGCTTAGACTACAGTGTGGAATTGCCCTCAGCCTGAATTATTGTTCTCTCTGCGGACTAGATAGAATGAATGTCCAGTAGGGGGTGACAGAACACCACCAGTTGGAGTGGCCACTCCTTTTGTGACATTTCACTGGCCTACTGCCCCAGAGAAAACCCAGATGCTATTAGGAATCCCTTTTCACCAACTGCTTTCCTCTGGATTCTACAGCAGCCACCTCCAACCTGGTACTCTCCAGATGGGCATTCATGTAATTAATGGGAGTTAAGGCAATTGGAGTTTCAGCCATCTGGAGAACAACAGGCATGGGAAGCTTGCTCTTTAAAGATCAACAGGAAATACGTGTACAGATTCTTCCCTGCTGGAATTGCCTTCAGATTTGGGGACCTTTGGAGATTAGTCTTTTTGCCTTAGCTTTGGAGAGCAACAATCCACTTTCTGCTTCAGCACCTTGAGCAGCAGTTGGTATTTCATGATCCGCTGTACAGGCTTGATAAGTAAATCATTGAGCTGCAGGCGATGCCCCAACTCCTGCTTCAGTTCCTGGAAAAGAGAAAATGATGTACAGCCAAGTCTGTAAAAAATGTGTGGGAGATTGACTGTGCATGCTATACAGATACCACACAAAATGTGACATGCTTTAAAAGGACACCTGCAAGGGAAAGACTAGTTTTAGAGACTTGGGAAAGCAAGATGGGACCAAAAAAAAAAAAAAAAAAGCTAACATTTAAAAGCAGCTTCACACATTTACATATTTAGAATGGAAGTTAGTATAGAAGAACATTTGCAGTCTATTATTCTTTATCTCTGAGCAGAAGGACCCCAGAGATAGCAAATTCATCATTCTTTTAAAAGACCTTTCTTTCCCACTTAGCTCAAAGAAAGGTATTTCTGAAAGAAAAGACAATTCTGTAGCCTGGAGCCAGTCAACCAGCTGCTCATCTACTCCTTATGCCAATTTAAAGAGTTAATACAGGCAACCTCTGATGGTACATGGCTTTTAAAGTCTTCCTCAACCAGGAGTTCTCACCTCAATTATGGCTAACAGATGCCTAGAGTTATTCCCATGGGTTTCACAAATCATTGCCTACCCACATTTAGATGAATGTGTGGTAGTGTGCAAGAAGAGGCAGATGTGTTGGGTGGCACTGGCTCCATACAAATGCTTTTCCTCAAGAAGGGAGCTATTAGGTGACCGGACCAAAGAGGTTGCCTGGAGTTCATCTGCATTGGCTCAGAGAGGGGCACACAACAGCACAAGATCAAGGGTCCCTTATGCTGGCAGGAGATGAGTGAGACACAAGCAAGTTATGTGGCAGAGGCTGAGGGCAAAAAGAAAGAACAAAGCAGCAGTCAAGGCACATAGCCCCTTACCTCAAAGTAAGTGTCAATAAACTCAGAAACAATATGCTCAGATTTGGGTTTGTTCTGACAGTAAACAACATACATGTGCAAACGACGCTCCTAGAATACAACAGGGAAACAATTCAGTTGAACACTTTGGATAAAACTTAACAACACGTATGTTAAAGAGCCAGGCCTCCTGAGCAATTTATACAAATTACTAATTCTGATGAAAATCTTATTTTATGACACATGCTGTCTTTGCCCTTGAGACATTTTTATTGTTTCATCATTATCTATGCTTAAGCCAGCATTTACTTCTATAATGCTTCCAATTATGCTTTGGGGAACTCAGAATTAGTTTCTTCTAGCAAATTATAAGTAAATGCATGTATAATTTTCATAGCTTATAGTTCACAGCTTGTGGTTGTACTATTGAATATACATACTTACTAAGAAATAAACATAATATTTTTTTCCTGATCTCATGTGTGTGTGCATGCACACACACACACACACGTATATAACATACATTTATTTGGAATCAGAGCTTGTTTTGTTGAATGATTACAGTCAATTTTGTTCAATTACAGGAGCTTATTTTGTTGAATTGCTACAGTCAAATAGTAGGCTAGGAAAAACATATGATTTTAACAAATTTTCCTTTTACAATTATGGGTTGATCATGGAAATTCACTGGAGCAACAACAAAATAATTTTGTGGAAAACAAGATCCAACCAGGGTGTGAATGATTCATGGCATCCCTCCTCTCTTTGGAGTTTGATATTATTTAGAATGGAATCCTTTAAAAAAAAAAGTACAAAGTTATCGGTTCTAAGGCAGCAACGTTCCTAGTTTTCAAAGGTGCTTTTAAAATTTATAGTGTCCAGACTTCTTCATTACTGTATACTGAAATTGTTTTATTAAATGGTCTTGTGCAGCATAGTAATATTAATAGTAGTAAAGTTGGAAGGGACCTTGGAGATCATCTAGTCCACCCTCTGCTCAGGCAGGAAACCCTACACCATTTTGGACAAATGGCTGTCCAGTCTCTTCTTAAAAACTTCCAGTGTTGGAGCATTTACTGCTTCTGGAGGCAGGCTGTTCCACTGGTTAATTGTTCTCACTGTCAGGAAGTTTCTCCTTAGTTCTAGGTTGCTTCTCTCCTTGATTAGTTTCCACCGTTGCTTCTTGTCCTGCCTTCAGGTGCTTTGGAAAATAGCTTAATTCCCTCTTCTTTATGGCAGCCCCTGAGATATTGGAATACTGCTATCATGGCCCCCCTTGTCCTTCTCTTCGTTAAACTAGACATACCCAATTCTAGCAACCGTTCCTTATATGTTTTAGCCTCCAGTCCCCTAATCATCTTTGTTGCTCTTCTCTATACTCTTTCTAGAGTCTCAACATCTTTTTTACATCGTGGTGACCAACACTGGATACAGTATTCCAAGTGTGGCCTTACCAAGGCATTGAAGAGTGGTATTAATACTTCACCTGATCTTGATTCTATCCCTCTGTTAATGCAGCCTACCACTGTTGGCCTTTTTGGCAGCTGCAGCACACTGCTGGCTCATATTTAGGTGATTGTCTACTAGGACTCCGAGGTCCCTCTCACAGTTACTACTATTGAGCATGGTGCCACCTATGCTGTACTTGTGAATTGACTGGGACAGATGCAGCCTTTGATATGGGATAGTCAATTCCACCTTCATTCTGTCAGAAGAATGTTCCTTTCTCCAATCTTCATATAATTGGTAACTCTCATAATCACCAACTGAATGGCCAAAAATTATGATGCTTGAGGATTATGAGATTTAAAATCCAACAAAGTGGGGAAATCTGTGCCACAGGTAAATAACATTTCACTTTGCAACTCTATACCTCATTTCACTTGCACTGTGATCATGCTATGATCACCAGAAGTGGGACAATAATTACCAATACTCCTAGAAGACAATGAAAAATCTCTTCTATCAAATATGCCATAGATCAGTCTAACAAATGCTTGATAAGAAAAAGGGATCAATATCATCATCATTAGAGCATCTAGCTTTTTTAAGCTGAGTAACAGATTTCCTCCTTTATGCTTAAACTTGCATAATCCCTGAGTTAATGGGGCTATGGGACATGCTTTCCAGAGGAATTAGCTGATTCAATCAAACTGAAGCTCCATCTAGGTCAGCATTCTGCTTCTGACAATGCCATTCTGAAAATGTTTTAATGCAGATAAACAGGATAATTGTTTTGTCTCTGTCTTTAGAAACCAAAACCATATGCTCCTCGATTCAGAAATTTCATTTAATCATTCTGCTTCTATTTTGACAGCTCTTCTACCCTCCTTATAGCAATTGTAGGGACTCACGTGCTTTATGAACAGCTCAGCCAGAAGATCAGGGTCCTCCAGACATTTCTCCAGCTGCTTGAGTAAATAACTGCAGTTGGGGGAGGAGAGGGAGCAGATATGGTATCCATGAGATATGTGCCCTTATCCCATCTTCCCATTTCCCCCCCCCCCCGGCTTTTATATTATAGACTTAAATCAAAGTGCTTTTCAAAATGAGGCTAAGAAATAGGAGTCCTTCTCAGGACCAGATTCTTTGGGGAAAGAAAGGAAAGAGGATCAGTAATCCATTCAGCCATAAGATAGTGGCCCATTGTAGTTCTTGTCCCTTATCTTGCTAATTTCACATTGGCCACATTAACCTAGTTAGGTAATCACTGAGTCAATATTAGCCCTTGAAACAGTTGCCAAGTCATAATCCAAAGTTACACTAGACTTCTCCCAAATATGGCCACTGGAATACAGTTCCCATTATAGCAATTTGGCCTAATTATTGGAAAGTTCTACCTTTCAATAGAAAGCTCCATTCTCAGGAAATATAGTTACCCCATGCCATGCTCTACCCAGAAACGACTGTTTGCTTGTTCACTCACTCTTTATGCCAGTCATAGATCTGGTGGATGTTCCCAAAGATTATCTTATCCTTGCCCTTCATACCTTCAGGGATGCCACGGGTATTCATGGTCACCATATAGCCCTGCAAAATCAGAAGAATAGGCTAGAGGAACTATTTTGCTTCTTCTTTAAAACATGGAAGAAGTGAATGAAGGAGGAATTAAGACAGGATTCCTGTCCTGACAGAAATTAGAGTGATGGGCTCTGACTTGGTAACTGGGAGAAAGGGAGTACATGGGCAAAGACCTTATTTATAGCAACTATGGTGTTCTGGGTTTTGAGGAAACCCTGAGAATCCCTGATATTCAGAAACACATCACAGATTCCTCAATGAGAGCAGAGTTAAGCAATTCCATTTAAAAAAAAAGTCTGCCCATTTCATCAATGAAATGTCACAGAAGAAGATTTTGGGGCTGGTAAGATGCCTTTAGAGAGAAATGGTTAACAATACATTGACCTGCTAAAATAAAGATCACATTGTTTACCTTGAACATGGTACAAATACCAAGTCTATACCAAGCATTATGAACTCAAAAATCCTTACCTAGAATGTAAGCCTTTATCTCATAGTAAGATAGGCATTCTGCATCTGTGATATTTTGCTTGGACTTTAACTCCCATTAGTCCAGTTAACAGTATCTCAAAGTAAAGAGATTATTGCAGTTTAAAACCAAAATATCTGGGGAGTACTGTACTATGTTGAGAGATTTATATTCCCTCGCTAGTGCTTTTATTAATTTGGGAAAAGAAGCACCCAGTTGAACTGCACAATAAGAAGCAAACAGGTGCTCTTTTTCAAGGTCTTCAGAAAATATGAGGATGACTGACAAGCAAGGAACACACATTACTACTAACTTTTCTTCCATTTCATGGTATTCACCAGTTTAGGAATTATTTCTGTACTACCCTCGCTTTTCCATTAAACCATTTTGACTATAGCGCTTTGACTATAAACCTGAAAAATCTGAATTCTGGCAAAACTATGAGAGTTCAGCTAGAAATAACTCATTGGCAGTAATGAACTGAGGACACTTTAAAATACAAATTCATTTTAGGTATGTAGTAATAGAAGTTCAAATAAAATGGGTAACAAGTTGAAGAGGAGGAGGAATGAAAGAAGACAGACCAGCAGTAAGCAGACAGAAAATTAAAGTCAGTAAAGTATAAAAGGAAGCATTATTCTTATTACAAAGGGAGGTTTCTGCCCAATTCAAGAAAAAGTGTAACTGAATGCACATTTTGCAAAATAATTGTATTTGAAAAATATTTTAAACATCCAGAAAATGAAAGACCACTTGTTTAAGGATATTAAACACACAACCACTTGTATTACTTTAATACAAGTTAAAAATATAAGAAGCAGAAAATTAGCCAGAAGTGCAATGAAATCATTATATGATAACAATATAAAAGGAGTCATTATAGGAATCAGGGAAATTGGCAAATGAATCAAATGAATTTTGCACATTGGTCTTTACTTTAAAAGTTGCTGAAAGTGTACCCCTGCCTGAATCAGAATTGATTGAAAATAAATACTTTTTTTTTCCCCAAAACAGATCAGGGCTTTGCAGCCAGGTGGCATTCACCCAACAGATCTTAAAGAACAGTTGAGGAACTGCTGAAGCATGAGATAAAACGTGTAACATCTCTTAAATCCGACTTCTTAACAGAGAACTTGGAAGGTAGCCAATATATTAGCAATACTTTTAAAAGAAAGGGATTGGGGTTGAGGGAGAGGAAAAAAGAAAACAACATCCAGGAAATTACAGGCTTGTCTGAGATACATTGATGGAAAACTCAAGATAACTGGTATTGTAAAAATGTGCATAAGCACAAATCTTGTTAAGGAAGATTTTTTGTGAAGGGAGGTTCTGCTCTGCCAGCCATTTAAAATACCGTACCATAGAGTCGTCAATAATAAAGTTGCAGATACAGTAAGTGATCCAGTGAGTACTGTATTCTCAGCTGTTCAGAAAGCTATAATGGGATGAGAAAGCAGCTCCCATGCAACCTTCAACTTCCTTTTTGGGACAACCTAAATGATTCCCCAACTCTGCTGCTGAAAACTGATGGAAAATCATTGATATTCAGTACTAAAAGGCTAATATTAGCACTATTTCTCTAATATATTTCTTCCAAAACAAGCCTCCAAAAGGATGAACCCACATATTTTGGCTTTTAAGAAAAACCTTATCAAATTTTCAAAAAGAGATATAAAAGAAGTCAACAGTTCCAGCCTAGCAGAAAAATGTGATTTTAATGAGTGAAATTCCCGACTACAAAAATGTTGCTCACCCTGCATATGCAGCAGTCAAATATAGAGATATATGCAAACATTTCCATTTCTAAATTCTAATTCCAATTCCAAATGAAGTAGGTTGTTTCACGTTTGACCCACATACAGTTAGGGTTGAAATAGGCACTTTTGAATTAAAAATCTGGGCTTTTCAAGCTGAGTTTGAACGCCAAACAATTTGTACACAATTAGTCAAGACATAAGAGGATGGACTGGTTGCTAGTTTGAAAGACAAGCAATAGGAGATGGAAATAAATAAATAGGGTTCAAAATGGAAGTAAACACAAAGAACAAGCTGATTCAATGTTAAAATTTACAATTAAGACATTCAACAGAATATTGTATTGTAAAATACTATGCTCTCGACAGGATATTACATCTCACCCTGTTTTATGTTTCCCCCAATAGCCAATAAATATTTTGTACCCATAAAGCATGCAACCAGTTGTCATTTTGAGTCTTTGGGATTCTACTTTTGACAAACATTTGTCAAATTTTAATATACTGTGAACTTCTGGACATGGGCAGCCCATCTCAAAAAAACAAGATACAGACTAGAGGAGAAAAAAAATTGAAGGGAAAGTCCTCTCTTCATAAGAAACTGGGGTTTTCAAACCTCAAAGGAGCATTGTATGTCCTGAGTGGCAATGCAACAAATTCCCCAAATCATACAGGATTGCCTTGGGCCAGTCCATAGGTACTTGAATGGCTCTTCAGACTGAAGATTAGAATCAAGCATTAATTTTTCTTTTCTTCTACTCTCGTCAAGCAAGAAGACAGGCAGTTTCAAGCAATCTATTCTGTTTGGAGGATGGAAAATATTTTGCCCAAGATCCCAAAAGATCTGGAGATGGCCCGCTGATTGATAGGGAATTAGTGTCTAAGGTGTAATGTATATGTGTGCACCTCCACAATCTGGCCCAGGTCTTCCACGTACATCTTCTCGGTTTCAATCAACTCCCTGAGAACAAACCTGCAGACAAGACGAAGCAGCAGTGTCTAAGGGGAAGGAAATGCATTGTGTGAGCCCTGTTCCCTCTTTTCTTATGCACGGCATCCCTCCCATCTCCTTATTCTGCATACATGTGCTATTTACAGACCTACACTAAAGCCTTCTCTATGCTGAGGAGAGACTTGTATGACATAGAGAAAGGACCTTGTTTGCAAGCTGCTTAAGATGTGATAAAGCAAGTACAGTATGCTGCAAATATCCGTGCAGTCAGTTTTTCCTGAAGTATTACAGGAATGTTGATGCATAATTAACAATTGATTCTATATAGCATGTAGTCATAGCACGTTTGGAATGAACACTTAGGACTTGTGGGATATGCCCTGAGTATAAAAGCTATGAAATAACTCTTGTTTCACCCACATTAAGTTTGTGCCTCCGTGCTTTTCAATATCCCAACATCTGCTACATTTGCCTTCCACCTAGTCCTGTCTTTGACCATTTCTCCCGTCATGGTTGTAAGCTACTGCACCAAGGAAAATCACTTACATACTCTTTTCTAAGGCACTACGCCTCTCCTCCTCTTCCTGCTCCTCAGAGCCTGGGGGCTGCACAAGAGGTTCCAAGGGAGACGCTGAGGTTCTGGGATCTGTAGGGAGCAGAGAGGGCTCAGGATCCTGTCAAAAAAGAAGAGAAAAAGATTCCATTTCATATTAAAATTTGCAATAGACAATAATACGTTAAAAGGTAGGATGGGTACCCAATGCAACTCAAGATGTCTTACTCAAGCAAGAAGAGTTACTTGGTTTCCCATTTCCTCTAATCTCATTCAGAATATGAGAAGTTTGACGGTGCTCAGGAAGGAATATTAATCACCAATCCAAGTTAACTTTTCCTGTTTGGAGCAGATTACTTGTTTTTGATGCTAGACACTATTGACATTGGGCATACATCCCTTTTGATTTCCCAGCTTCTGAAATGCAATTTGAAACCTCTTTACTTCTGAAATTTTAGACGTTATGAGGTAAATAAAGCAAATTGCTAACCTACCATGAGCTGCTCCAGGTTTTGCGATAACAAAAATCCCAAAGGGAAAGAAAATACGCTAATGCTCCAAGTTATTGGAGGCTTTGCAGGTAGCTGATTCTTTGTCAAAGAGAAGAAAGTTACAGAACCCATTTCTTTTTAAACCACACAAAACAAAACAAAAAAGGCCTCCCAGTTTAAATGCCTTATTTTTCATATACAGTATACACGGAAAGTGAAACTGATTTACGTGGATTTGGTTCTCAGGTCATCTGTTTTAAGAAAATTAAAGAGGTATATAATCTGTGAGCAAATCAAGAACTGCTTCTCAATAAGACTTACATCAATTTCCAAAACTGAGGTTATTTGTAAAAACTAGACATTCATCCTTCTTTAATGCCTGCCAAATTTCACAATGAAAGTATTATTGAATTCTGTGGTTCTTGAGTGCAATCTGTTTCATTCTATAACACTTTTGTTAGAGAAACATTTATATGGAAACATCACACTTTTCCCACCTTACCTAACTACAGTATTATGGCTTTTAAAGTTTGAATCTGTATGGCATGATTATAAATCAATGAACACCTATTACAAATATATCTTGAAATTTGCTAGTAATGTTTTGGTCAACAAAGCATTAATAGACTGTAGTCAGAAATGTTTGTACATAAACATCTGAGTAACAATGGGCTTCATCTGAACATAAGAACCTATCTTATGTGGAATCAATCCAATGGTCTAAACCAGGTATATCCAAATTGCGGCCCATGGACTGTATGCAACCGTAGAAAGTTAATAATAGGACCCCACAAGATCATAATAAAAATATTTAAAAATGAAGGAAGCTTGTTATGTATTGTGTATATATTAACTATATTATATATTTATACGTGGCCTAAGACAATTCTTCACTCAATGCGGCCCAGACAAGCCAAAAGGTTGGATACACCTGGTCAACCGTCCTATACTACTTAAACACAATGGCTATAACTCTCCATAGCTCCATCAGTTTTTCTCTTAAATCTTGTATTTAGGAAAGACAAAGGATTAAATTTGGGACCTTACATATAAAGCTATCCTATTTAACTATTCAGATAAGCAACCCAACATTCACAAGAAAGGGTTATTAATAGCAGTTATTAATAAGTTAGGTGGTTTTGAGATTTTGGAAGATTCCCTTAACCTCACCCTGTTGTCGCCATTTTTATTTTACTTTCTTTTAAAATTCTTCTCACAGAAATGTCTTTTCTCCTAGCTCCTTGTGAATGTTGGTATCATCTGAGCTGTAAGTATAGTACAGATTGGTTTCTATGAAGATGACATAATTCTTTAAAAGGGAAAATAGGCTCAAGAATGGAAAGAAAAAGAAAAGGAGAGAAAATGGGATGTAAAGCACAACTGAGACCAGTTAAAGAAGTCATCACAAGATTGTCCAGTTACTTTTATTCTTTGCCCGCCTTTGTCTGCAGCTAATCTCATTTCATGCAACACTAAGTGCATGAACTGCAAATATTTAACTTCAATGTCAAAGTATTTTTCTGAACCAAGGTAGGCAACATAGTACACATGGGTGCAACTTTGGAGGTTTCTAGCCTATATCCTAATGTTGTGGGAACTGTACCTATCTTCTCAGAGAAAAGGTAAAAATATATAAATTTATATTTATATAAAGTAAGCCTATACATTTAATTAAATAAATAAATAACAAAAGTATCCTGAGAGTTGGTGAAACAAACCCTCCCACATTTGCTTCCAGGAGTAAGAAGACATTTTATAGTGTCTCAATCTTTAAATTCCAAATGTGTTCACTGCTTCACAAAAAAATGGTTGATTCTTCTTTAAAGTCTGCTTTAGATATAACAGCATCCATCAAGATGTGCACTGAATAACATCTAATACAAGACATCTTTTCTTCCTGCCTCTCCCCACCTGGTTGAGCGTTTTTGAGCCATCTCCTTCTAGCAGGTTAGAGAGCAAGGAAAGGTCTGGTAGATGAGTATTGCCATCCTGAAATTATAAGAGAAATGTATCAAACAATTTCATGTCCAGGTTTATAAATGGGTATACAGAAGTTTCTGATCCTCCACTTTTAAATTTCCTTTGGATAACGGCACTATTGCTCACATCATTACACAGTTTTAGCATCACAAATCTCTATACAGCTGCCAGTTTGTTCTACCAGCAAAATTAACACACTTAATCAAAGCCTTTCTGTAAATCAAGTGTAAAGTTCAAAAAAAGGCATCAAGGTGCATCTAGAAAACTGGCTCCATATAAAAACACGTCACAAGACAAATCAGAATAACTAATGCTATTGTACTGACAAATTAAAAAGGACAATCATCCAATGCAATTTTGAAGTTGACTCTTTCTAATTCACTTTGATGGACAATAGGTGATCAGTTGTCTCTGATTCATAGTATCATGTGCATAATGATGCTGGTGTTCTTCAACAGCATGTGTCTTGTCTTGTTTGCTCAAATGAACTATTTGTTCTATATCTTACAATCTAAATCAACCTCCCCAACTTGGGTACCCTCCACATGTGTGGATCTTAATTTAGAGAATCCTCAGCCACAGACATCTGGATTGCATGAAGCTAGCCTGGATTCAATGTTGACTATTCTGTGAGGGCTGGTGATTGTCTAATCCTGCTTCACAGTGAGGGACTGAACAAAATAGCTTTTGTTTGCACAGGCATGCATTTCTTTGTTCTTACTGTGCTGATTGACTCCTGTGGAACAGCAAAGGGTCCCTCTGCTTGACTGAGGAGGTCGAGGTCAATACTCTTGCAATCCTCCTGGCGCCCATGGCGCCTTGTCCGACCTTCTGTTTTCCTGAGTGGGCGTTCTCCCCGAGGTAGCCCACCACCACTTAGCTTGCGCACAGGGTTGGTAAGCCATTTCTTGAGGGTGCTAACTGAGTGGCGGGAAGCAGGGGAACTGGGAGCTGAGCTGCTGGATGCCTGTGGCTGGATTGAGGCCACTGAGGCAGAGATGCTGCCATCACTGCCTGCAACAGAATATGGATCTGCAAGAAGAAAACAGAGACAGTGAGTGTATCATCACAAATCTAAAGCACCAAAGCCAAATATGCAAGTAAATGGGACTCAAGATTGCCCAAATAAGTTATACTCCATAACCTTTAAGTCCTTACATTAGTTATGAAAGTGTACTCTATGGCATTCTATACATTCTGAGGACAGGATCATCACTCAATATTGCAGTATACACGTTGCACGTAAAAATAAGTCCAACTGAAATAACCTGAGGTAGTAAGATGGGAAATGCCCTTTGATGTATTTTTTATTTTATTTTTCCTTCCCAAAGCAACTTTCTATTTTGTTGGTTTTTTTTATTATCTATTTTCCTTCAACAATAGAATTCATTGCTGCATGCATGGGGGTTTTGGCTAGCCTTAAAATACATACTGTCCAGCTTCAAAAAAAAAGTTGCTGCACCATTTGCTCTCATGGTTACCAAGAGATGGATAGCAGAAAGTGGGCCAGTTTTCAAAGATCAGCTAATGAAATGTGTATGAATTACATAATCTTGGAGGCCTCAAAATATCCTTTTATGCTTTGCAGTATCGGGTGATAGGGTTTTTCTTTTGTCTCTGAATCATATTTGAACTGGTGACCACAATGAAAATTTATAGTAGTTAAAAGAGCTGGGAGGAATTAGGACCCAGCCATTTGGAAACAGACCCCATGATACATACTTTAACAACTAATTTGAAGAACATTTATTTATTTTTCAGGTTTACAGAATGCTTCACTTGTATTCAGCTCAAAGTAGTATATGTGCAATCTTCATAACCAGGGTTAAAATCATACAAAACGATCACCAATACTAATACTAAAAAATCCTAAGTCACCAAGAAAACATTATTTCAATATAAACAGTCACAAAATGCAATGGGATATCTGCACATCATCATACAACCAGATATTAATGGTCTTAATGTCAAAGAGCTGAAGCCACCCTAACTGCATCCCTCTGCATTCTCCAAGCTTATTTGAAATGAATACTAAATTCCATGTTATGCTTTTATGCTTCAAAAATCAGTGCAGGTCCTTATGCGTAACACAGCTTCCTTGTATGAACTGCAATATGCTCCACGTGGGGCTGCTCTTGAATCCCACTCAGAAGCTTCAACTGATTCAGAATGCAGTAGTTTGAGCACTGAGAAGCATGTTGTGTTATGCCACGTGACAGCCCTGCTACGTAAGTTGTACTCGTTGCCAGCCTGCTTCTGGATGGGATTCAAGATGCTGGTTACGATCTGTTTAGTCCTATGTAGCATGGAGCATGGGACCCCCTCTCCCCCCTGGTGTCTGCCCAGCTGATTTGATCTGACAGGGTTGGCATGCTCCAAGTTCTTTCAAGTTAAGCAATGTCATTTATCAGACCTCAGAAGTGTGATTTCTCTACTGCAGTACTGTACCTATCCTCTGGAATAAGGTTCCTCCTGAAATTTGATGTCTTTCAGCCAGCTGGTATTCTGGAAAACTTCCCATATTCTGGGCTAGGGTGACTGGTGCCCCCCGCTGGGTGGGTGATATGTGTTTTTCTATCTTTGGCCAGATTCCCCATCTTGTTTAATGTTCTACAGTTTACTTGTATTGAGTGTATTTGCTATTTTGTCTTTTAATGCTTTGAGGCACCCAGAGTTGATCTGGAATTGGGTGGCACCCAAATCAAATCAAATAATTATGTGCCTTATAGCACATCTGCTCTATATGTATTCATTGTAAACCCTGTTGGGACAACTTCAATGCAACTTGAAGATGGTCAGAAATTACATTACCAATAGTCCCATGTAATTAGCAAACATTTCAGCCTGGTCTGGATAGTTTCTTAAATGACAGAAAACTTGCATATTCGTTTTATATATGGCACACAAAGCATCCAGCATCCAGTCTGGTGAAAAGCCACTGCAAGTGGCAGGTCCCTCAATTTCACTAAAAGCAACTACCACCCCCTGAAATTAAGGATATATATTGAAGTGAATTGAATGCTTTTGCACTGAAACTGATTCTCTCTTTTCCTCCCCAACCAATATCATGAACAGAATATTTTCTTTTTTGAAGCACAGAATACAACCGTTTTTTTTAAAAAAAGACATGGTCTTTATCTGCAGCTGATGGGCTTAGAGAAACTGAAATCTGAAGCAAAGACAAGACATTAATATTCTTCTCCTATGTTCTAGTAGTGAGTTGACATTATGAAATAAGGTTTAAATTAAATCCTTGTTGATGGGTCCAGGTGTTCATTTGTGTGCATTAATATTTATTGAGTATGTATGAAAATGCAATCATCTGGATGAGAACAAAGGCTAAATTTACACAATCCAAGTTCTGTGTCAGAAAGTAGATTGATTGAGCTGTGTACAGCAGCAGTTATGAGATCAGCTACAGAATATGTGTAATTTTTCAAACAAATCAAGTTACTAGCTCAATATCATTTTATTCTTTACAAGACAATAAACATGGGTTGCATTGCAAGCTGACTACATAGTAGAATGATTGCATGCAGATCTATGCCAGATTCGTACAAATAGATATTTATTTGAGGTCTAGGGTTTATTTATTTTCTGATGACTGGTTGAATCTATGAATAAAAGAGCACATACACAGTTTTACTTCCCTGTGCACCAGACCAAAACCGTCAATTAATGTAACCACAGGGAGGGAAGAAATCAAGTAAAATTCATGCATATGTGAACCAAGAACTGATGGCTCGCAGATGAATTAATTTTTACCTCACCTTCTTCATGGAACTCTGTGTAATATACACAGCCCTGTCCTTTCTAGTTCATCCTCCATGATTACCTTCTTAGATCAAGGGTGGGGAATGATGGCTCTTTATGACTTGTGGACTTCAACTCCCAGAATTCCTGAGCCAGTTATCCTGAGAGAAGGCTATAAGGAAGTTTCATAACCATTGTTGTTGTTAATTGCGAAGTCGTGTCCGACCCATCGCGACCCCATGGACAACGTTCATCCAGGTCTTCCTGTCCTCTACCATCTTCTGGAGTCCATTTAAATTCACACCTACTGCTTCAGTGACTCCATCCAGCCATCTCATTCTCTGTCATCCCCTTCTTCTATTGCCCTCAATCTTTCCCAGCATTAGGCCCTTCTCCAGTGAGTCCTTCCTTCTCATTAGGTGGCCAAAGTATTTGAGTTTCGACTTCAGGATCTGGCCTTCTAAAGAGCAGTCGGGGTTGATCTCTTCTAGGACTGACCGGTTTGAACGCCTTGCAGTCCAAGGGACTCGCAGGAGTCTTCTCCAGCACCATAGTTCAAAGGCCTCAATTCTTTTGTGCTCAGCCTTTCTTATGGTCCAGCTTTCACAGCCATACATTGCAACTGGGAAAACCATGGCCTGGACTATACGCACTTTTGTTGGCAGGGTGATGTCTCTGCTTTTTAGTATGCTGTCTAGATTTGCCATAGCTTTCCTCCCCAGGAGCAAGCATCTTTTAATTTCTTGGCTGCAGTCCCCATCTGAAGTGATCTTGGAGCCCAGAAAAATAAAATCTGTCACTACCTCCATTTCTTTCCCATCTATTTGCCAGGAATTGAGAGGGCCAGATGCCATGATTTTGGTTTTCTTAATGTTGAGTTTCAAGCCAACTTTTGCACTCTCCTTCTTCACCCGCATCAAGAGGCTTTTTAGTTCCACTTTCTGCCATTAGAGTGGTATCATCTGCATATCTTAGGTTGTTAATATTTCTCCCGGCAATAACCATATGAGGATATAAATAGAAGTCTCCTTGGTCTTAATTTACATTATAAATACTAGAACATACATATAAACTGATTCATAAAGGTTCATGGATGTTGTGTGAAGTCTGTATCTACTTCGTTTCTATAAAAATCCATCACTTAGACTTGGTAATTAAATATTCAGCATAACTGTGTAAATTAATTACTCTATGACAGAGGTCCCCAACCTTTTGGGCACCAGGGGACCAGCTCCATGGAGAGAGGTTTTTCCATGGACCAGAGAGTGTGTGGTTTTGTGTGCTGCCTGCATCCCACAGATGGGGCTTTGCTTGTTTGTGCGGACCGGTTGCTGGCATGCTGTGGCCAGGTACTGGTCCATGGACGGGGGTTGGGGACCCTTGCTGTATGACATGCGAGAATGATTCAAATATGGCTCCGCCTGAGCAGTTTTTACTGTATACCACCATAAAATCTGAATTTGATGAAAAGTGATTCAAACGTGCTTTAAATCTGCAAGGGGTTTCTATTCTCCAGATGTTGTTGAACTGCAACTCCAAGAATCTTTCACCATGACTATGCTGCTTAGGGATATTGCAAGCTGGAGTCCAGCATATGTGGAAAAAGCAGTTTCCCCACATCTGTTTCAAAACTAATCAGGGTAGTCATGCTTAGCTTCAACAGAAATGTTTGGTTTGGCTACTTTGGCCCATTTTCTGCTTACTCTCATGAAGTGAGCTTGAATGCATGGAATTATATTTGAAAATGCATGCTGGAGACACACCGATAAATATTTGTAAGCAAGCAATATTGTCCCAATGCAACTAGCAAGATAAAGAAGATGATGACAGTCTTGTTTTCAGAAAAAAAACTACTGTACTGCAGTAATAACCCATTTAGCCAGGGGCCATAATTCAATACAGTGGCATGGCACCTGCTCCTGAAATAACACTGCCTGCGTCAGGAAGTAGAGATGTGTCAAGCCAATGCCACAGGCATCTAAACCCACCTAGGAAACTAACACGACAGTGTGAGGGGTGTTGCTATGGCAACTAATTAGCTCTGTACATGTCCATGGTCTACTTGGAGATGAAGGCTTAGGAAAAAAAACAATATGCACCCACAAAATATATCATGCAATGTCATTCTTACCTCAGCTGCTTTATTACTCCACGGTCTCAAGCCTATAACTGCTGAAATTCGTGTTGACTAAATGTTCTTCCATAGAAAATACTAATTCTAGAGAAAACTAGCAAGTCTAGGACAAGGTTGAAAGCTTATATAAGGATCGCTAATGGAA